ACAGTAACCTTTAGAAGAGACCCATAGGAAGTTATGGGAGCAGGGAAGAATAAGAAGTTATTATTTAGTGGACTCATGCTGTTGTGGGTAGAGTTCAGTTTCTGCAGGCTATTGGTCTAAAGGCCTTGGTTCCTCACTGGCTATTGGCTGAAGGCTGCTATTGGTTCCTGGCCACGAGGACCTTTAGACAGTGCAGCTCCATAACATAGTAGCCTGCTTCATCAGAGCAAGCAAGTAAGTGAGGAGAGAGAGAGAGACAGAGAGAGAGAGAGAGACTGTTTTTTATAACCTAGTCATGGAAGAGACATCCTATCCTTTTTGCCATATTCAATTTATTAGAAGCATGTCACTATGTCCAGCCCACACAAGGCATGATTATCAAGAGGCAGAGATTATTGGAGCCATTTCAGGAGCAACCTACCACAACTGGACACCACACTTCCAATCCATAACCTAAAATTGTGGCATTAATGATTTAGGTTTAAGTGAGCCCAGGTTAGTGAGGCCCTTAGGTACTTGGTAAAAGTAAATGCCAATCCTCTCTGGAGTAACTCACTTTAAGCTCAGGCATTAAGTACTTCTACCAGATAGAGTTCCAACAAACATGAGTATGTACTAAAAAAGAAAAAATGGCAAGTCATCTTGAGAGACAATTAGCAAAAGCAAAGCATCAGACCTGCTGATGCTACAGATACTGGAATTATCAGATACATAATACATATATAATAAGCATGTTTAATCTGTATAATTAAAATATGACTAAGAAACAACAGAAATTTTAAAAAAGTAAATCAGATTTGAAACAAAAACAAATATAATTTCTAGAAATGGAAAATAAAGTAATTGAAATTAGAAAGTCAATAAATTGTTCAAAACAGCAGACTGAACACAGCTGAAGTAAGAAATGATGAACTGAAAGATAGATTTCAAAAAATTACCCAGAATTCAGCAAATTAAAGACATGGAAAATATTAAAGAAAGGGAAGTAAACATGGAGGCTAGAGAAGCTGTTACATATAATTGGACTTTCAAAATGAGAAAAAAGAACAAGGGAGAGAGGGCATTCAAACAGAGAATGGCTGAGAATTTGTCACGTTTGATGATGACAAATCCAAAAACTCAGGAACCTAAACTGTGCTGGTTACGTACCTAGCTTTCAGCTCCACACCTATCCTTCTATTCCCTGCAAGGCAACGTGAGGGTTGGGTATCTGCAATACTTTCCCAGCCCCCTTTAGCAGCTGGCTACCCACTGGATTCCACCAATAAGAGGCACTTATTGGTGTGTAATATCATATAATACATAAGAATGTTCATAGTATTATTACTCATAATTGCCAAACACTGGAGAGACCCAAGTAAATGTCTGTCAAGTATAGAACAGGCAGGAAGGGGGTAATAGCAGTTCTTCTTCTCTCATTTTTTGCTCTCTTCCTTTTTCTCCTTCTGGCTCCAAACCCTTAGTAACAGCACTTCCTCTAACCATCCAGCCTGATAGCCCAACTGTCCCTGGAATGGTGGCCCGCACCCTTCCCCTGCTGGATTCTGGTAATATAACCTCCTCTCTTTGGTGCCTTGAGCCCTAGGGATGTGCTAGCTACTTTCTGCTTTCTAATCTCCTGGCTTCCTCACCTTTGTTTCTCTTTCAACTGTCTAATATATGTGTAGCCAATTCCCTTACAAAATCCTCTCTGTTTTAAAGTGCCTAGCATGGTTTCCATTTCCCTGCCTGGACGCTGACTCATATACCAAATTCCAAGCAAGTGAAATAAAAGGAAATCCTAGGTACACCAAAACCAAACTCAGAATACTAGAAAGAAGCTAGGAAGAAGACAGATTTCCTAAAAGAAGCAACAGCTGGAAACAGCTGGACTGACTCAACAGCAACAATTGAAGTCAGAAAATAAGTAACATGCTCTAAATGTTGAGTGAAAACAACTTTCCACCTGGAATAATAGACCCTATGAAACTATCATCTACAAATAAGAGAGAAATTAAGATATTTTGAGATAAGTGATATGAGATTAATATTAAAGCCTGCCAAGTTAAATAACAGGGATAAACTGCAGTTTAGTTTAGACTTTGGGAATTGGGATTTGGGATTTGGGATTTGTTTTGCCCCTGAGCCTTGCCTCTGGAATCAAAGTGGCAGAAGGGGAGCAAAATATGTGAAACCAAAATATGTGAAACCAAAACACATCCCTTTGGCATATAAGTTATTTTAAACTGGTTACTTTAAAGAAACAGCAGACACTGAGAAGCTCTAAGAATCAAGTATAAATTACCCTTTTGTAAGATACATTTACATTTATAAAGGAAATCTCCATCTGTAAGGGTATCTTCCTCTCTGTGTCAGGAAGAAGGGGGATGGCTCTAAATCTCTAGAAACTCTTAACAATGCGCAAGTCAATGGCTTAAATCTACATACCGGCCTTACCTTTGTTTACTGTGATTTTCCAGGTCACCTTCCATATCTGGCTTCCCTCACCCCTTCCCAATCTCAGCATTTTTGGTCTGTAGCTGGACATGGTATTTAAGGTGGGGGCCTGGGACAGCAGAGGAGTTAGTCAGTCTTCCTGGGTATCTTACATGTACACAGGAGGTATAAAATGCTATTAAACTTTTGTTTCTTTTTCTCCTATTAATCTTTCTTTTTATTACAATGGTGTCTCAGCCAAGAACCTAGAAGAATAGAGGGAAAATTATTTTTCCTCCTCAATGCTATCAAATCACTATTCCAACATTTTTTCTAGCATCCCTGAAAATTTGCACAACCAATAAACCTATGATGCAGTAGGTATCATCATATATAATTAAAGAGACAATGTCAATAATATAAAGTGTGTCATGCCAATGTATTGAAAATATTTTCACATACTCTTTCAAATATAGATAGCATTGTGAAGTAATTTAAGCTGAATTTTTTGCTTGATTTCTGAGTAAAATTATATCACTTGAATAAAAAATCTATACCAACTACTTAAGAGTAAAATGCCACAATAATTATGATTTTAAAACTATTGCCCTGGCTGGTGTAGCTCAGTGGATTGAGCGCAGGCTGGGAACCAAAGTGTCCCAGATTCGATTCCCAGCCAGGGTACATTCCTGGGTTGCAGGCCATAACCCCCAGCAACCGCACATTGATGTTTCTCTCTCTCTCTCTTTCTCTCTCTCCCTCCCTTCCCTCCCTAAAAATAAATAAATTAAATCTTTAAAAAAAAACCTATTAAGTTTATGAGGAAAAGCAATTATTAAGAATCTGCATTGTTTGACTTTTCTTAGGTTATACTGTGGCAACAAACTCTAAAATAAAGAACTACCTTTAATTTTTTGTTATTTACTTCCACTTAGGCCATAAGCCTTATAAGAAAATGTCCCTCTAGGGAATTCTTCACATCTTGTAATGTTAGATTAATGGCAGAATGTCAGTTAGCCACCTGAAAATTTCATAAGAAGAAAAAACTCCAAAATCCTGTTCAACAGCATTCTTGATAAATCATCTTCAATTTAGATATAACAAAGAATGTAAAGTGTAAGATTAAAGTGTTAGGAGGGTGGGTGGGGCAGGGGAGAGCAACAGGGGAAAATTGGGACAGCTGTAATAGAACAACAATAAAAAAAGATTAAAGTGTTAGAGCAGAGCAAGTTATCAAAATTTTATTCCCACTTATTGAACTTCAAAATAATAGACTTTATGAGAAAACTCATACAAGAGATTTCATTGTAGTTCTATGTCTAGGGAAGCTAAAATTTAAAGAAAAATCTTATTGATATTACTACAGACCACAAGTCAGCATGCTTTTTCTTTTAAAGGCCAGATAGTTAATATTTTAGGCTCTGAGAGCCATTAAGTCTCTCACAGCTACTCAACTCTGTTGCTGTGTTGTAAAACTGCTATAGGTAGTACAAACCAAAGAGCATGGCTGTGTTCTAATAAGCCTTATTTAAAAAAAATAGACAGAGGATTGGATTTGATCCTTAGATCATATTTTACAATTCCTACTATAGACTGAGCTGTTTTTAGTAGTTGATGATGAGTTTTCATATTTGCAGAAGCTATAAATCCTAGGTGTTAAGTTCATTCTAGAAAATGTGTTATAAAAACACTCTTTCAATTGTAGTCTGCTGTGCACAGAAAAGCTCTGATATTACTAAATGTGATACTTTAACTTGGATGTCAGATGTTTGGATATGCTGAAATGACTATAAGTCATTTAAGTTTGATAGTATAGTAAATTAATAATGAACTAGACTCTGCTTCTGTTTAATTGTTGAGAAATTGTTGAGGCCTCACACAACTATCAATATAATACATTCTTAATGAAGAACTATTTATAAGATGGAAAATCAGTTTTTTAAACATGTCAATTATTATCAATAACAGAACAAACATTGTAAAGACTAAGAGTTGGGAATCATAGGAATACAATGTTTTCTTCATATACCCTTCATTACTGTAATCAGAATGCAATATAACTGCCTATAAGCAGAAAAATAGTGGGCCACTTCATCATACTTCAGGCAAAAACAAAAATAGACTATGTCCAAAGATTTTGGAATTGCCTTGTCATATATTTCACAAGATGTTTAAACAAGGTGAAATAGCAGCCACTACATGTTTAAAAGCCACCTTGAGCAAAACCACAATAATATGTTCTTTAGATGAAAACAATATATCTGAACTTATTAAAACTGCTTGCAAAGAAAGTACTTTGTTTGCTGGAACCTGAGGAAGAAGTAACCAAACCAATATTTTCAGAGTGTGAGCATTTATTACATGATAGCTACTGAAAAGATTCTCATATTATTCAACTTTAGGAAGACGCAGATACAGTATACATGAAATGAAACTGAAATGCAGGTGGAAAAACTAAGATGATTGGTTTCTTGAAAGCCACATTTTTAGAACCACAGTTTAAAGACAAATTTTATTCATGTGATTGTGTAAAAACAGCAACTACAGGCAAAACACAAATTTATTAGGAATAAAAATGTAAGCAAGGACAATACTTTCAGAAAAGATTTAGAAAATATTTTCTTCAACGAGTACCAGAAGCTTCTATTTGAGGGACTGCTTCAACCAAACTGCACCATCATCAACAACCAAAATGGATATCAATTTTACTTTAATTGGTTCCTATTAAAGAGAAAGGAAAGTTTAATAATTTTGTGGCAGCATCAACAATAGCAGTATCCCATAATGGCAGCACTGACCAAACATTATCTGCTCTTCTACCCTCTTTAGGTGAAAGTGTGGAGGAGGAAGAAATTTTCCTCTATCCTTCTAGGTTCTTTTGGCTTATCTAATAATCAACATGAAACAGATTAACAAGAGGAAATAACCAAATTTAATTACACATATATGTACGGGAACCCCACATACTTGAGAGTTTTAGGGATGAAAAGTAAAGTGTGGATATATGGCATCCCAAGCTAAGGATGAGGTAAGATGCCCTGAGGCTTCAGAGGGGAGGAGGGTCACTTGAAGATAGGTAAGAAGAGCAGATGTTTGGTAATGAGAAATTTGCCCTGGTCATAAAAAGTTATGTGTGGTAATAACTCTTATTATGGGCAAGGCCCTTAATTTAAATTCTTTAAGGGAGAAGTAAAAGTTTCTCTGAGCCCACAGGGTCTCACTCGATTGCCTTCAGCTCAAAATAATCCACATGCCAAAGTAGCACATCTTGGGGAGGCCTCTTCTGAACCCCTTCAAAAGAGAACATCTATTTATGTGGTAGACAACACTACTGTTTATTTCCAGGTATATTCTTCTCTATACATAGGTATAAAGAATTATACGCCTTCTGCCCTGGCTGGCGTAGCTCAGTGGATTGAGCGCGGGCTGCGAACCAAGCATCGCAGGTTCGATTCCCAGTCAGGGCACATGCCTAGGTTGCAGGCCACGGCCCCCAGCAACCACACGTTGATCTTTCTCTCTCTCCCTCTCTCTCTCTCTCTCTCTCTCTCTCTCCCTCCCTCCCTTCCCTCTCTAAAAATAAATAAATTTTTAAAAATCTTAAAAAAAAAAAAGAATTATACTCCTTCTGACCTTAAAGTTAGGCACAGCTATCTGACTACTTTGGGCTCATGAAACATGAGTGAAAGTAACTGAATATCTGGGCCATAGCATTTTGCTGCCAGTGGTAAACACTCTAGTCCTCTCCTTCTCTGCTACAGTGTATGAACCCTGAGCCTCATTTTAAGATATGGGCATAATAAAAAGGGGGAGTCTCCATCAGTCTGCCAGCCCCTGATGGATACATACCATAAACAAAAAAATAAATCTTTGTTTTTTTAAAACTACAGGGATTTTAGGGTTTGTTTCCTAAATATGACCTAGCTTATCCAAACTGGTGTAATTTACTCATAATGTCATAATGTAGAGTAGAATGACCCCAGAAACTACTAGCTTATATCAATGAGAAATGAATATTCCTGAAGGAAATGTCAAACTTTAAAAATCTGAATATTAATATTTTAATAGTAAAAGTGTAATAGTTTTAAAATTAATATCTAATTTTAATATTTCATGTTGATTCTGATATTTTAGAAGTTTATTATAAGATACTGATATTCTGCTTCAGCCAAATACTGATTTTTAACAAATAGCTATTTTGCATTCAGCTAAAATATATATTTGTTGCCCATCTAAAAAAATTCTAAATAAAAGTAATATGAATAAAAACTTGTCTATGTAACCTTTACTTAAAATTGTTACCTGAGGCCTGGCTGATGTAGCTCAGTGGATTGAGTGCCAGCCTGTGAACCAGAGGGTTGCTGGTTCAATTCCCAGTCAGGGCACATGCCTGGGTTGTGGGCCAGGTCCGCCCCCCTCCTGTCGGGGTACTCTAGAGGCAACCACATTGATGTTTCTCTCCCTGTCTTTCTCTCTCCCTTCCCCTCTCTAAAGGTAAATAAATAAAATCTTTTTCTTAAAAATCATTACTCGAGGAAAAATACCTTGATCTTATGGAATTCAGGCATGTTTTTGCTGCCATCTTGCATCCTCTATCTTTTCTCTTCTGCTGCCACCAGCTGGCTTTCACTACTGATAAGTTCCAGAAACCAGCAGGATTCAATTCAATGTTCTGTTTTAACTGCTGGGTCCCTGATGAGAACACCAAGTCAGATGAATAAGTAGATTTTTAGGTTTGGAAGAGAAAAACCCAATCAACTTATTTCCTACATACTTTGGGTAATCAGATAGCCACACAGCATCTGGTACTTGTCCCAGCAAGTAGTCCAGGCAAGGATTCAGGCTAACAAAAGAGAAGACATTTCAATTCTTAAGTTAATATTCTCCTCTCAGTGGAAAACAGTATTAAAAACAATGGGAATTATATAAGAACAAAGATCAGTTCAAATACAATAGTGCACCAGTAGTCTTAATGTAGTTTTAGGCTTTAATAACTTCAGAAGTATAAATTCTACAAACATGCAAAACATCATTGGAAAGTAAAATTATTTAAATTTCTTTCACGCTTATTTGATCTTAGAAATTTTTGAACAGTAAACATATATAAATTTTTATTTCATTCAATGTTTAACATCGTCAATAAGAGGGACTCAGTCTTTGAAATTTAAAATTATTCAGAATTTGCCCTGGCTGGTGTGGCTCAGTGGATTGAGTGCCAGCCCGTGAACCAAAGGGTCACTGGTTGGATTCCCAGTCAGGGCACAAGCCTGGGTTAAAGACCAGGTCCCCAGGAGGGGGGCATGCAAGAGGCAACCACACACTGATGTTTCCCTCCCTCTCTTTCTCCCTTCCTTCCCCCCTCTCTAAAATAAATCAATAAAATTTTTAAAAATGTAATTATTCAAAATTCACAAAATGACTAAGTATAGTCATATAATTTAAGTAAACATAATTTCAGTAAACATTCAGGTGATGCTTTTTGTAAGTATTTAGCATTTATACTTCTGAAATTATCAAAGCCTAAAACTGCACTAAGACTTTTGGGACACCTGTACATGGAAAACTGTGGAGTCATAGGATACTTGAACATAAACTCTTATAATTTCTGCCAAGCTATGTTCAAAATAAATTAGAACATTTCATAATAACACATATACACACGTATACAATAAGATATATCATAAGGGTTCTTGGAGCTAGAGTTACGGTGCTAAATTATTAAAACTCTAGGAAAAATATGGAAAGTGAAGCAAATTAGTAGCAATATCTATAATACAGGTCTCTAGTATTACACTTTATTTTTACTTTAGAGGGTGTTTTGGAAGTGCAGTTTTATTTGGGATACTTGTTCTGAAGATAGTATTATGTTTTCAGTATTTGGATATTTGTATTTTTATTGATGATGCTTTTCCAGAAAAGTTAAAACAAATAACTTTTGAAGACTCGAACATTAAAAGAATGCACAAAAACACTCCATAAATATTACTTTTCCTTCCTATTGGAGACCATCTAGTTCAGTGGTTTTCAGTCTTGGCTGCACAGTAAAATGACATAAGGAGTTTTAAAAACATACTAGTGCTTGGGGAGAAAAAATACTAATGTGTGGGTTCCATGCTTCTATTTTAATTCAATTGCTCTAGGCTACAAAATTTTAGAAATTTTAAAATTCTCCCTAGTGATCCTAATGTACAGCCAAGGTTAAGACCCACTACTCCAAGTCAATATATAATCAGGTATATGTCAACATAAAAACATATTAAGATGTTCGGAGCTCCATTTTTTTTTTTACCATAACACCAATCTTAAATTTTGTAATAGAAGAGGTTGAGAAAAGACCCTAATTTGATTGATAACATGAAATTTTTCTCCCGGTCAAGGAGGAAAATTTTTTCCTCTTTTCTTCTAGATTTCTCTGGCTGGTCAAAGAATTAAATTGACCTGAGACAGAACAATAGGAGCAAAACAACCAAAGTTTAATAACCTGCAGACCCAAGAAAACTAAGTCCCCAAAATAGCTGGAGCCACCACCTTAAACACCACCTCCAGCTGAAAACAAAAGATGTTGGACAAGAAGAGGAGGCCAGTTACGCAAGGCACAGTAAAGGGTAAGGTTGTTATGCAGATTTGTCTTTGCCTTCTCCACTGATAAGAGTTTCCAGAGATGTATTCATCCTACTCTTCCTGGCACAGAGAGAGAGATGCTTTTGCAAATGAAGATGCCCTTTATAAATGTAAATGTCTCTTACAAAAGAGTAACTTCTACTTGGTGTTCAGAGCTCCTCTTATTTCTGTTTATTTTTTTTAATAGTTTAAAATCATATGCCAAAAAAATCGTATTTTAGAGTCGCAAATTCTGCTCCCCTACAGCTCTAAAATACAGGGTTGGGCAAAAGTAGTTTACAGTTGTGAGTACGCTAAAGTTTATTCTTGTACTACTTATTAATTATTGTATTATTTCCATACAAACAACTGTAAAATAAGCAAAAAAGGGCATACACAAAAAGAGTACCTATTGTATGATGCTATTTACATAAAGAAGGGGGGATTGACCAGGAGCGAAATTAATAAGATGGAAATTTTCTTTATTTTGTTTAGAGTACACAGATAGTTATTATGGAAATGAACGGTTGAGATCTGTATTATGATTTCTCTATATGTAAACTACACTTCAATAAAAAGAATAAAAGAAATTAAACCTGGATACCTATTACAATGTATGGGAGGCGCAGACATTTATCTTCAGCAGATTATAAAAACAACAGCAAACCCCCGACCAGAACCGACGAGAATGGAGAACAAACAGCAGGGAGGGACAAAGCCTAAGAAATCGCTAGAGGGCTGGCAGCTTCAGCTGAACCGGTGCTGGAACGACGACGAATCAGTGCCCCACAAAAATAAGCCCCCGCCTCCCGTTCCGGCGCGTACACGTCCGTCTGTGTTTAACCGGAAACGTCCGGTGGGAAACGGCACCACCTCGAGAAAGGAGCCGATAACAGCTTTGTTCCTGCGCAGATGGTGTGATTGTAGGCACCGAGCGGTCGGCTTGTTGCACGGCTCGCCGGGAGGAGGACGCCGTGGCTCGCCTTTCTTCCGCTCCTCCGCTGCTACCATGATTCCGGTGTCGCTGGTAGTAGTGGTGGTGGGCGGCTGGACTGCGGTCTACCTGACCGACTTGGTGCTGAAGGTGAGGGCGACAAGTTGACGGCCAAAGCCCCGCGCTACCCAGGGCCGGGGCTCAAGGCCGGAGGCCATTTCTCTTCTCCTACCTCGCGCCTTCCGGGCTGGAAGCCGTGCGGCCGGAGCCCACGTGCGGCCGTCCGCGTGGCGCGCGGGCCCTTGGAGTAATTTTGGCAGGCCGCGGGAGGGGTGTGGCGGTCTGAGCGGGAGCCGCCGTCGCATTGCGGGGCGGTGCACGGTCCGTAGCCTTCGGGTCTGGCCGGAGAGGCTACGGTAGTGGTCTTGGGAGGGACTGGGTCCTGCCATAGTCCGCGACGGTCCCCCAGGGAGGAAAATAAAATGTCCGCCTAGGAAGGGCATTGTTTCCCCTTCATTGTCTTTAAAGCCACGACCCTGTAGAGACTCTGGCATGGGAATGAACCTAAATCGAGTCGTAATTTAGATCGGTGGTCTCAAACTTTAAAGTACACATGACCATATGGGGTTCCGGTTAAAATGCACCTTCTCTGATACATCGGGTCAGGGCGGAGCCTAAGATACTATGTTCCTAACCGGTTCCTAAGTGCTCCCAATGCTGTTCGCTAGTCTACAGCCCGTACTTAAAAACAGTAAATACTTAGTAGCAAAGGTCTGAATAACTTGTTTCTGACTTCTCGAATTCTAACTTGCACCCTACACTCCTTTTTCATATTAACTCCCCCCACCCACACACACTCTCTGGGTGCACGATAAACTCTCCAGTTATTTAAGAAGAGTAGAAAAAACTATGAACGTTTGACCACATGCTTCATGCAGCTTTTGGAATTGAATATTGGAGGGTGAGGGTAACTGTGTGGAATAAAGTCATACACATTCTCAAATGTTTAATAAAAATTTCAATTATGGATTGAGCACGGGCTGGGAACCAGTGTCCCAGGTTCGATTCCCAGCCAGGGTACATTCCTGGGTTGCAGGCCATAACCCCCAGCAACCGCACATTGATGTTTTTCTCTCCCTCTCTCCCTCTCTCCCTCCCTCTCCCTCTCCCTCTCCCTCTCCCCCCTCCCCCCTCCCCTTCCGCCCCCCCTCTCTCCCCTCCCCTCCCCCCTCCCCCCTCCCCCCTCTCTCCCTCTCCCTCTCTCCCTCCCTTCCCTCCCTAAAAATAAATAAATAAAATCTTAAAAAGAAGAAAGAAAAAAAGAAACGACTTTATAAAAAAAAGTTTCAATTATGAGTAGTAGAACCATGTTGTGAATACTGCTTTAAATACTTTAAATTGTGTGTTTTAGGTTTAATAGTAAAATGAAATGATCCTTTTGGTTCCTTGTTACATTTGAACTTGGAAAGCAAGGGCTGGCTTCTTCCCACTTCCTAGTGGTTGTGACCTTGGGCAAATTACTCTCTTGTGCCTCAGTTTCTTCGTCTTTAATATAGGGATAATAATAGCAAGGACTTCCTGATATTGTAGAGAAGATTACATTAGTTCATCTCTCTATATAAAGCCTTGCTATTCAACCTGAGGTTCAAGGACTAGCAGCACTTGCATCATCTGGAAGCTTCTCAGAAATGTAGCATCTCAGTCCTCATTCCTGGACTACAGAATCAGAATCTTGGATCTTCATAAGATTCCCCACGTGCTTCCTCCACACTTGGCATAGTGCTTAGCCTGTCATAAGCAATACAGGCCACTGCTTTAAACAGTGATTTTGTTTAGAAAACACAAAGCCACATGATTTCTTCATTTTGCATGTGTGACAAAAGTCCAGGATAAAAAGTTTTTTTAAAACCTCTGTAGTCTCTAGTCAAGTGTGTGAGGTGATCAGGACGGCACTTTAGTTTCAGTAACAGCCCCTGGCTCCCTAAGATAGCAGTATTACTTGAGTGAAAAACCTAACTCTCATTCAGTCTGCCTGGGGAATGCAGAGTTTTCAGAGCCTGCACCTTCACCTCCTCTGTTTCCTACATGGTCTGCTGTCCTACTCTTGGTTCTTTTATGCCAGGGGTGTCAAACCCATTTTCACCGGGGGCCACATCAGCCTGGGGGTTGCTTTCAAAAGGCCGAATGTAATTTCAACTCCTTAACAGTTAAGGAGTAGTTACATTTATACAGTCCTAAAATTATTTCGGCCCTTTGAAGGCAGCCACAAGGCTAATGTGGCCCCCGGTGAAAATGAGTTTGACACCGCTGTTTTAGGATTTCCTCAGTAGACATCTGCTGAGTGGGTTTGTTGCTCTCATTTTCCAAGTCTTAGAAACCAAGCAGGTTTCAAAAACTTCACCTGAAGTTTGAGAGCAGAGAACATTACAGGTCCAAAGGCAAACGAATACCTATATTGACTCAAGTCATTTTTTAGGGCTGTGATAGGGGTGAAATATTCTTCTAGAGATGGATAAGTTTCTCAAACGGATGGACATTGATATGACAAAATACTTATTGTACTTTCTGTAACTGAGGTAATAGGGGTCAGTGTCAGTGTATATTAAACAGCCTTACGTTATTTGTAATTTTTACTCAAGGACTTCAAACTTCCCTAAAGATAAAGCTCTTGTGAGGCTGTATATAAGTACTATCCCTCCAACCTTGAAGAAGGTAAGAGAAGTTACTGAGACCAAGATGGCTTTTGATAAGTCTTGTACTTTTACATGATTTAAGTCAGCCTAATTTCTTAGGGTTGCTCAGAAAAGAATAGAAAGCACTGATTCCAACTAACCTGTCCCCTCTTGGATTGATTTGGGTCTTTTAAAATTATAACACAAAACCTTTCTGTGGTAACAAGGCTTCTAGACCTCTCTGTCCGATGTGGTATCCACTAACTTCATGTGGCCGTCAAGTATTTGAAATAGGGCTAGTCTGAATTGAGATGGGCTGTAAGTGTAAAGTTCATACTGAATTTCAAAGACTTAGTACATAAATAAATCAATAGAATTGTAAATTTTATTTTTATTAAATTTATTGGGCTGACATTGGTTAATAAGACTATATAGGTTTCAAGCATAGATTTCTGATACATGATCTGTATATGGCATTGTGTGCCCACCACTCAAAGTCAAATAATCTTGCATCACTATATATTTGATCCCTTACAGTTTACTGCTCCCCCATCCCCTTCCCTCCACTAACCACCATACTGTTGTCTGTGTCTGTGAGTTTCAGTTTTATATCCCACTTACAAGTGAAATCATATGGTTCTTAGCTTTCTCTGCCTGACTTACTCTACTTAGCATAATATTCTCAAGATCCATCCATGTTATTGCAAAAGGCAGTATTTCATCTTATGGCTGAGTAGTATCTCATAGTATACGAGGTCTGTCTGGGAAAAGTCTAGCCATTGTTAATGTAATTAGAACAGTGCACGACATCCATGTTAGCTGATAGCCAAGGAGAGCGGGCTAGAATGTTCATGTGTGAACAATGACAACTTCACTGTACTAGTCAGTGGGGGCTGTTTTGGTGAAACATCAAATCCCCCAGGTGAGTCAGCCCCTCTACGGCCCAGATTTGGTGCCCTGTGACTTCTGGCTTTTCCCAAAACTAAAATCGCTTTTGAAAGGAAATAGATTTCAGACCTTCAACGAGACTCAGGAAAAGACGATGGGGCAGCTGATGGCAATCGGAGAACTGTGTGAGGTCCCAAGGTGGCCTGCTTTGAAGGGAACTGAAGCGTCATCCTATGTACAATATTTCTTGTACCTTGTATCTTCAATAAATGTCTCTATTTTTCATATCATATGGCTGGATACCTTATGGACAGGCCTCATATTTTACCACATCTTTATCTATTCATCTACTGAAGAACATTTTGGTTGTTTCAATATCTTGGCCACTGCGAATAGTGCAGCAATGAAAACAGGGGTGAAAATATCTTTGCAAATAAATTTTTCAAATTTTTCAGGTAGATACCCAGAAGAGAGATTGTTGGTCATATGGTAATGCTATCCTTAATTTTTGGAGGAATCTCCATAGTGGCTGTACCAGTTTACATTCCTACCAGCAGTGAATGAGGGTTTCCTTTTTCTCTACAACTTCTGTGACACTTATTACTTATCTTGTTGATAATGGCCATTCTAATAGATGTGAGGTGGTATCTCATTGTAGCTTTGATTTGCATTTCCCTAATAGCTAGTGAAGTTGAGCATCTTTTAATATATCTATTGGCCATTTGTACATCTTCTAGGGAGAAGGGTCTGTTCAAGTTCTCTGCTCATTTTTTAATTGGATGTTTGGTGTTGAGTTGAATGACTTCTTTATATATTTTGGATATGAACCAGAGCTGTTGTTTGCAAATACTATCTTCCATTCATTTGGTTGCCTTTTTGTTTTGTTGGCAGTTTCTTTTGCTGTGCAGAAACTTTTTAGTTTGATATAATCGTATTCATTTATTTTTGCCTTTACTTCCCTTGCCTTTGGTGTCAAATTTATAAAATCTTCTCTAAGACCAAGGTCCATGAGTTTAGTATCTTATGTTTTCTTATATGTAATTTATTGTTTCAGATCTTATATTTAGGTTTTTGATCCATTTTGAATTATTTTTGTACATGGGTACAAACTGTAGTCTAGTTTCATTATTTTGCATGTGGCTCTCCAATTTTCCCAGCACCATTTTTTGAAGAGGCTTTCTTCTCTCCTTTGTCAAAACTTAATTTGCCCATATAAGTAGTTTTATTTCTGGGCTCTCAATTCTGTACCATTGGTCTGTGTGTCTGTTTTTCTGCCAGTGCCATGCTGTTTTGATTATGACTGCTCTATAGTATAATTTGAAGTCAGGTAGTACACCTTCAGCTTTGTTCTTTTTTTTTTCCCTCAGGATTGCTTTGGCTGTTCTTTTGTCATTCCATAAACATCTGATGATTTTTTTGTTTTATTTCTTTAAAAAATGACATTGGGATTTTGATGGGGATTGCATTAAATCTGTACATTGCTTTGGGTACTATAGCCATTTTAACTATGTATTTCCAATCTATGAACACAGAGTATCATTCCATTTCATTGAGTCTTTTTCAATCTTTTTAGATAATGCTTTGTAGTTTTCAGTATATAGGTTCTTCACATCCTTTGTTAAGTTTATTACTAGATATTTTCTTTTTGTTGTAATTACAAAGGAATTGTTTTTCATTTCTTTTTTGAAAGTTATTTGTTAGTATAGGAATTCAGTGGATTTTTGTACATTGATTTTTGTATCTTGCAACTTTAGTGTATTTGTTTATTGTTTCTAATAGTTTTTAGATGGAAGCTTTAGGATATTCTATAGAATATATATAGAATCATGTCATCTGCAAAAAGTGATGCTTTTACTACTTCTTCATTCCCAATTTGGATACCTTTTATTTCTGTTTCTTGACTGATTGTTCTGGCTAGGACTTCTAGTACTATATTGAATAAGAGTAGTGAGTGTGGACATTCTTGTATTTTTCCTGATTTGGGGGAAAACTTTTAAGTTTTTCACCATTGAGTATATTAGCTGAGGGTTTGTCATATATGGACTTTATTATGTTGAGGTTCTTTCCTTCTATACCCATTTTATTGAGGTTTTTATCATAAATGCATGTTGTATTTTATCAAATGTTTTTTCTACGTCTATTGATAAGGTCATACAACTCTTTTGTTAATGATGTATACATTGATTGATTTGCATATATTGAACTACCCTTGTGCCCCCAGAATGAACCCCACTTGATCATAATGTATTATTTTTTAAATGTATTGTTGTGTTCCATTTGCTAGTATTTTGTTTAGGACTTTTGCATCCGCATTCATCAGAGACACTTGTTTGTAGTTTTCTTTTTGTCTGTTATCCTTGCCAGGTTTTGCTATGAGGGTTGTGTTGACCTCATAAAATGTGTTAGGGTACATTGCCCCTTCTTCAGTTTTTTGGAAGAGTTTAAGAAGGATAGGTGTCAAATCTATGAGTGTTTGGTAGAATTCACTACCAAAGCCATCTGCCCCTGCACTTTTATTTTGGGGGAGGTTTTTGATAGTTGTGTCAATTTCCTTACTGTTGATTGGACTATTTAGATCTTCCAATTCTTCATGATTCAGTTTAGGAAGGTTATGTATTTCTAGGAACATATCCATTTCTTCTAACTTACTGAATTTAATGGCATATAGTCTTTTGTGATATTCTAATGTAATTCTTTGTATACTTGTGCAGTCTGTAGTAACTTTTTTCATTTCCAGTTTTGTTTTTATGAGTCTTTTCTCTTTTTTCCTTAGCAAGTCTAGCCAGGGGTTTGTCAATTTTATGTTTCTAACTTTTAAAAATTTGAGATCGAAACATTGATTTGTTGTTCTACTTACTTATGCATTCATTAGCTGCTTCTTCTGTGTGCCGTGACCTGAGAAGGAACCTGCAACCTTGGCATACCAGGACAATGCTCTAACCAGCTGAACTACCTGGCTAGGGTCTTTGTCAATTTTATTAATCTTTTCAAAGAACCAACTCTTCGTTGTATTAATTTTTTATAGTCTTTTTGTTCTCCATTTCATTCAATTCTGCTTTAATTTTTATTATTTCTTTCTGCTGAGTTTGGGTTGCTTTTTTTCTTTCTTTTTTTTTTTTTAGTTCCTTAAGCTGTAATATTAGATTGTTTACTTGAGATTCCTATTGTTTCTTGAGACAGGCCTCTAATGATATAAATGTCCCTCTTACTACTGCTTTTGCTGCATCCCAGAAGTTTTGATATGTTGTATTGTCATTCTCACTTGTCGCTATATGTCAATCAATCTCACCTTCTATTTCTTTGACCCAGTCAGTTTTTAACAATACATTGTTTAAACTCCACATATTTGTAGGTCTTTTTACTTCGTTTTTGCAGTTGATCTCTAATTTGAAAGCATTGTGGACAGAGAATATGGTTGGTATGATTTCAATCTTAAATTTGTTGAGGCTGGTTTTGTGTTTCAGCATTCAGTCTATTGTTGATAATGTGCTGTGTGCACTGCATAAGAATGTATAATTTGATTGGGATGAAAGGTTCTGTAAGTGGCAATTTTGTTCATTTGGTCTAATATGTCATTTAAGGCTGATATTTCTTTATTAATTTTCTGTTTGGATGATCTTCTGTAATTGTCAATGGGGTATTTACATCCCCTACTGTGATTGTGTTTTTGTCAGTTTCTCCCTTTACTTCTGTTAGTAGTTGCTTTATATATATTCCGGTGTTCCCAGATTGAGTGTGTATATATATTGAGAAGTATTATGTCTTCTTGATGTAGTGTCCTTTTTATCATTATAACATGTCCACCTTTGTCTCTTGTTACCTTTATTATTTTGAAATCTATTTTGTCAGATATGAGTATGGCTACACCTGCTTTTTGCACTTCTTTGGCTTTTCAGATCTCTACAGGGAGGTGGAAAATGACCTGTGTTCCCTGGAAAGGCAGGTGCCTCCCCTGTGATTGGTCACCCCAGTCCCAGGGGACCAGCCCTGCAGGAGAACTCAGTGGGCAATGTGACTCCTAATGTGTGAGAACCCAGTGCTGTCCCTGCAGCCAGATGCAGCTGGCAGTATAGCTGTGAATGCGTGGGGGTGAGGTGAGCTGGGGGAACCCAGCCTTCTCTTTTGCTGCTTTGCCTTCCTGGCAATGGCAACCAGTGGACCTTTGTGGTGTCCCCCATGTGCCTCCATTTGAACCTGAGATTAGTCACAGAATGAGCCTGTCACTCAGGGAAAATGTGATTCTTAGTACCAGTTCTTGGGTTTGCAGATAATGTGCTCTGCAAACCCACACAAAGGGTGAGGGGAAGCGAGCTCTGGCAGGTTAAGGGGAAGCCTGGCTCCAGGGCTTTGTTTCTCTGTGGAACGCTGATTGCCAGATAACTGAGGCCACACCTTTGTGCTTTGTCTCTGCCCCGGGTACTGGGCTCTGCTGCAGCTCTTACTGCCCACTCCTGTAGAAATGCTCATTAAATCTCTTTGCTCCTCCTGGCTGAAGGGAATGCCAGTCACAGCCTGATTCCTTCTCTCTCTGGCTGAAAATCACACTGAGCTCCCGGCTGTAGGGATGCATCTGTGGCTCATCTTAGCTTTTCACCCTTTTGCCTCCCTGGTTCAATCCCACTTACCCGCCTTTACATGTTGGAATTTGTAGATCTCTCAGACATTTTGGTGCATTGAGCAGGTAGTTTTTTGTTAAATTGTTGAAACTTCAAGGGGCGAGACCAAGGGGATCTCTTCATGCCCCAGTTCCTCTGATGTCACCTATTACAATATTTTTATATTGATTTGAGTTGAAAATATATTTAAATTAATCTGTTTCTGTTTACTTTGTAAAATTTGACTACCTAAAAATTTAAAATTATATATGTGGCTGGTATTTGTGGCTCATATTTCTATTGGACAATGCCATTCTAAGCAGAGGTCAGCAGACTTTTCTGTAAAGGGTGAGATATTTTAGGCTTTGTGGGCCACACAGCGTCTGTCACATATTCTTGTTTTTCTATTGTCTTTCTGCAGTCTCTTAAAAATAAAAACCATCCTTAGTTCATAAGCAGTACAAAAATAAGCTGTAGGCTGAATTTGGCCCATGGGCCATTGTTTGCCGGACCCTAACTTCAGCAGACTAGCTAGTCTGAGGCCTTGACTTGAATATACTGAGGAATGAACGTAAAGCAGGGGTGTCAAACTCATTTTCACCGCAGGCCACATCAGCCTTATGGTTGCCTTCAAAGGGCCGAAACAATTTTAGGAATGTATAAATGTAACTGCTCCTTAACTGTTAAGGAGTTGAAATTACATTTGGCCCTTTGAAGGCAGCTGCAAGGCTACATGGCCCCCAGTGAAAATGAGTTTGACACCCCTGGCATAAAGCTTTAAAATTATGAGCATTTGGGCAGTCAGTATCTTGCTTTCCTACAGAAAAGACTATTTTTTCGTTTTCTTAAACATAAATTATTCAAAATTGAATGGTATGAAACTTCCCTTTCTCTTGTAGTCATCTGTGTATTTTAAGCACTCTTATGAAGACTGGCTAGAAAACAATGGATTGAGCATCTCCCCTTTCCACATAAGATGGCAAACTGCTGTTTTCAATCGTGCCTTTTACAGTTGGGGACGGCGGAAAGCAAGGATGCTTTATCAATGGTATGCTTCATTTTTTCTTTTTGGTTTAAATTAAGTCATTGTGATCATGAGAAATGCTCGTTAACTGAACTGTTTCCATCATTTTCCAATGCACTGAGTTTTAAAATGTTGACAGTATAAAAACTTTCTGGATTTATGTAAGCTTATGGGACTGTGTCATTGTGCTTTTGCACACATTAAAAATCAAGGTTCTGTATCTTGATCTGGGTGATAGACACATGGGTGCACATTTGTAGAAATTCAGTGAGCTGTACACTTCAGACATGTGCACTTTATTCTGTATGTTATATACTAGTAGAAAAGCAAAACAAATGTGGAATATTTTCATCAAGAAAATAGCCCTAGAGAATTCTCTCCTCCATCATCACACATAGGAACAAGGTTCTGGGAGTCAAAGGATGCCCACAAATCTGCAGGATTTTCCCTATATTTCTTTTTGGATACTCCTCCAGGGGAAGGATTTTTTAAATATTTAACAACCAGTCAGGCATATGTGCAAACCAAGTGGGAAAATGGCAGCCAGATTGCAGTGCCAGGGTCCTGGAGGTTGTGTAGTTGAGAGAATTTCTAATGTGGAAGTAGGGAGCTCCTTTTGGTCAAAAATTTAGCTCCAAATGAAGCAGAGCTAAATGTAAGGAGTCAGCTCATCAAAAAGTAGTAAATACACCTGCAAATCAAAGCAAAGCAAATCATCCCTGGCTGGCGTAGCTCAGTGAATTGATCGCGGACTGTGAACCAAAGCATCACAGGTTCGATTCCCAGTTAGGGCACATGCCTGGGTTGCAGGCCCCAGCCCCCAGCAACCGCACATAGATGTTTCTCTCTCTCTCTCTTTCTCCCTCCCTTCCCTCTCTAAAAATAAATAAATAAATAAAATCTTTTAAAAAAATTTTTTTTAAAGCAAAAAAAATAATAAAGAGCAGAAATCAGTGAAATAGAAAGTACATAGTAGATAAAATCAGCAAAGCCCAAAGTTGGTTCTTTGACAGTATTAATAAATTGATAAACCCCTACTTTGATCGAGAAAAAAGAAAATACACATACCTAAAGATCAGAATTGAAAAAGGTAACATTAATACAGATTCTACAGGCATTTTAAAAAATGAAACTATTTGAACAGTTCTGTGCCTGTAAATTCAATAATTTAGATGAAATGGACAAGTTCCTTGGAAAACAACTTATCAAAAAGTTAGAAAATGTAATAGGAGGATACCTTCTAATTATTAAAACAGTTAAAGAAAAAAACTCATTAAATTCTACCATGTTAGCCCTGACTGGCGTGGCTCAGTGGGTTGGGCATCATTCCACAAAGCAAAAGGTTGCTGGTTCAATTCCTGGTCAGGGCACGTGCCTGGGTTGTGGGCTGGGGCCCAGGTTGGGTGTGTGTGAGAGGCAACCAGTTGATGTTTCTCTCCCTGTCTCCCTCCCTTCTTCTCTCTCTAAAAATAAATAAATCTTTAAAAAAATTTTTACCATGTTAGTATTTAAACTCAAAATACAGCTAAAATAAGATACAAATAGACTTGGTAGGTGAAAAAGAGTGGATGACTGTAATGTCAAAAGAACTTTGGTAACTAACTGTATGAGAACAAGATCAAAACAATGCTACATAAATGAGAAAAAAGCAGAGGAAGCAAACTTTTTATTGGGAAGCATATTCAGCTGCCAGTTATGAGAGAATTGTAAGTTATTAGAACAGCTTAAAGAGATTAGTGCCATGTGCTTCAGTCACAGATCCGAAGTTCAGGTAGGAGAAAAAACAGAGGGTTATTAGAAGTTTTATACATTTTAAAGCTATGAAATGTGGCTGGTTGCAGAATTTTTTTAGTCCATGAATTGCAAGGAATTGTACATTTGTGCAATTTTTTTCTCTTAACAGGTTCAATTTTGGAATGGTGTTTGGTGTAATTGCCATGTTTAGCTCTTTTTTTCTCCTGGGGAAAACACTGATGCAGACTTTAGCACAAATGATGGCTGATTCTTCTGCTTCTTATTCTTCCTCCTCTTCTTCCTCTTCTTCCTCCTCTTCCTCTTCCTCCTCTTCTTCCTCCTCTTCTTCCTCCTCCTCACTTCACAACGAACAGGTGCTACAAGTTGTGGTAAGTGGCTTCTTTTTGCTTTTAAGTAACTATCGAACAATAGATATAAAATATTTCTTTTGGATTGCATAACTCCTATCTATAATATAAATATGAAAATATATGAAAGGTCACATGATTTTTCAAATTACCTGCTAAACAAAAATATTAGTAAGAATATAGCAAGGAATTGTTGCATTATGTACTAGTAGTAGCAGTAGCAATAATAGTGGTAATAGAAGAAATGGATCGTAATTAAGACTGTTGACAATTGAATGGATTTTGATTTAATATCTGTTGTCGTCTTAAGAGGTTAAATGATTGTTACTATAAAAGAATAAGCATTATTTAAGATCTTTATAATGTTTAAATTTTGTTTTTATCCTGTGCAAAGTGTTCCCTTCCCCTTTCCTCTTCATGGCTTTCCTCCTCTAACCAATAATATCCTTTTAATTAAAGGCGTAAGACCTTTTTGATTGGTTCCTGTGATTTTTTGATGTGAAGAGTAATATACTGAGTTGTACTCTTTTGACTGTGAGCTATTTATAATAATTCTTACTTTAAGGCACATGTGTAGACCCATACCTTATCAAATCATGTCTCCAGGGTTTGGAAGGGGACTCTACTGTTGGCTTTTATTTCTTATTTTTTACAATTTATAGTTTTCATTTCTATGAATCGTGGATGTTATGTTTTTAATCATATTCTTATTAATGGAATAGATTATTTAAGAGTTAGTGACAAGCCTGGCCAGTGTGGCTCACTTGGTTAGAGTATCATCCTGTAAACCAAAAGGTCATGGATTCTATTTCTGATAGGGGCACATGCCTAGGTTGCAGGTTCAGTCCCCAGTCCAGGCTGCATGTGAGAGGCAACTGATCAATGTTTCTCTCCCTCTCTCTTTCCCTCCCTTCCCCTCTCTTTAAAATCAATAAGCATGCCCTTGGGTGAGGATTAAAAAAGATAAAAACTGAAAAAAATTAGTGACATCTTTCTTAACTCATCTGTTTGTGGCTTTTACTATAGGATGGGTCACTAAGGAAAAATTTAGAAATCATTTGGAGAGAATGGTAATAGCTCTTTCTTAGAGGTTAAAGGGATTCTCCAGGTGAGGCCTCAGAGAGTTGATTTGTTTCTTCAGCAAATATTTAATGAATGTATTCTGTGTATTGGCCCTGTGTTAAGGCCTTATACAATGAAATCCAATTCTAGCAATCACGGAGCTTTTAGTCTAGAGGGAGAGCTGCTATGATAGTACTACAGGTGGAGAGAACATAAGGTGCTGTGGGAACAGGGAGAGAAGGTGTGCTGAGATGAGCCTGGCATTGGGGAGAAAGTAGAGTGGCGCTTCAAGGGAGGGGGAGGAGGATCTGCATAGCCTGGGAAAGGAAAATGGCAACTGAGCATCCGTCTCACAGAGGGGACCATATAAAATGGAAAGGCAAAGGAAATAATAATAATATAATAAGACCTAGTTAATATACAATGCTCTGTGAGGTTTCTGTGCCCATTTTATTTTATTCTTACAATAATCTGGAGATAAGATTGACAAATGGGAAAACCAAGGCACAGAAATGTTAAGTCATTTGCCTGTGGTTACAGTTAGTAAATGGGGTGGGGGAGAAGGTCCATCGCTCATCCACCATTGACCTCAGAGCCATTATGCTCTACTCCCTTAAAAAAGACCAATAATTCTTCAACTATAAAGTGGTGTAACTTTGGCCCATGTCTAGGAAGTATATGGTACAAGAGATAAGATGGTAGATATATATAGGTAGGGTCTAGGTTATGAAGGGCCATTCTAAATAGTTCTGGTTTTACCTGCCGGTGACAGGTCTGTGTACACAAAATGAACCAGAGTAGGGTTACATGTAAGATGGGGAGACCATTTAAGAGGGCGGTTGTAATCATTTATTTTATAAGTGATAAAAGATCTAAACTAAATTAGTGGTAAGAAAAATAAAGAGGGTAAATTTAAGGGATCTTTTGGATTGGAGTTCTCAGGCCCTGAAAATTAATTGAATGTGAGGCTGGAGGAAGAAGGAAAAGTTTAGGATAACTTTCAGGCTATTCAATTAGTTATTGTTTGCTAAGAAAAAGTACAGTAGAGACAGGAGCATATGTGGAGGAAATATGATCAATGTCCTGTATGCCTGCTGGGATTAGAATGGCAAAATGTTGTGCCATGAAGAAATTATTTCTTCTTTTGCTTCTCACTTTATTCATAGAACTCACAAAAATACTGACTCTCTTAGGAGAGAGAGTCATGTTTTAGAACCATCAAGTAGTCAACTGCCCTCTGTAGTCCACTGTGTATATTTATGTATATGTTTAAAAATATCATTATTGCCCTGGCCAATGTGGCACGGTGGCTTAGAACATCGCCCCATAGACAGAAGGGTCATGGTTTGATTCCCAGTCAATGCACATACCCAGGTTGCTAGTACAGTCCCTGTTCAGGGTATGTACGAGAAGGCATCCAATCAATGTTTTTTTCTTTCTCCCGCTTTCCTGTCCCTCCCTCCCTTCCCTCCCTTCCTCTATTTCTCAAAGCAATGAAAAAAAAAGTCCTCAGGTGAGAATTTTTTAAAAAAGGACTGTTATTATCTCCTGACCTTGATATGAGCTCTGGTAGCTTGGAAAACGTACTTTTTATTTACTCTATAATTCCCTACAGTCTGATTCAGTATTAATTCCCAAAAACCTGGCACTCTGTTGTTGAGATATTAATATTTTGGTACATCTAATACCCTGTGTGATTATGTCCAAGACAGATGGGCAGTTGCATACTGCTGCCAGCAAATGAGGCCATCTGTTGGTATAGTCACATGTTCAAATCCTTACCTTGTCTCATTATTACATTTATAAAATAATAAACAGAAAGAAACCATGTCCTTTTGCAGCAATTTTCAATGTTTTTCATCCCATAGCACACAAACTCATTACTAAAATTCTGCAGCACACCAAAAAATATATTTTTTGCCAATTTGACGAAAAAGTATATTTTTAATTGATTTACAAAGAAAATCATCCCTGGCTGGCGTAGCTCAGTGGATTGAGCGCGGGCTGGGAACCAAAGTGTCCCAGGTTTGATTCCCAGCCAGGGCACATCTCTGGGTTGCAGACCAGAACCCCCAGCAACCGCACATTGATGTTTCTCTCTCTCTCTCTCTCTCTCTCTCTCTCTCTCTCTCTCTCTCTCTCTCTCTCCCCCTCTCCCCCTCCTCTCTCTCCTCTCTCTCCTCTCTCTCTCCTCTCTCTCTCTCCCTCCCCCCTCCCTTCCCTCTCTAAAAAAATAAATAAATAAAATCTTTAAAAAAGAAAGAAAATCATAATAGTAATTACCTACCCTTTTTGCTCCAAAGTGACTTTTAAAAAATCAGATGCTGTCCCAGCTGGTGTGGCTCAGTGGATTGAGCTCTGGACTGTGAACCAAAGGGTCTCCAGTTCAATTCCTAGTCAGGGCACATGCCTGGGTTGCAGGCCAGGTCCCTGGTAGGGGGCTTATAGATAAGGATTTCTGGTTCCAAGAATTAACCAATCAGACACAACTTTATTATGCAACATGACTGATAAAAAGCAACTCTGTGTTGTGACCTATATATTTATGGTTCAAGACAGGGCATTCACACCAGATGGCTATTGTTGTGTTGGCTGTTGTCATTTTTCCTTTGACAGTCTGAGGGGAAATATGTCAGTACCCCTGACTAAATATCAGGTTTGCATGTTTTAAAATTTCTTGTGGCACACCAGTTGAAAACCACTGTCCTGTTGTATCGAGCCTGTTGATTTATTGACATAAAAGTAACCAGGATACTTTGTGACACAGAATGAATGTATGAGAATTAATCTTGAGTATGTAAATTTAGAGAGGGGTCAGAGAAAAGGAAACTCCTAATCTGAACAGAAAGATGCCTTGCCACTTGGGAATGGAGTATGGTGAAAAAGATATACTGATGTTCTTGAAAAGAGTTGCTTAGAGAGTTCCAGCCAAGATGGAGGCATAGGTGGAAACACTTAGCTTCCTTGCACAACCAAAAAGGATAACAGCTAATCTAAAATCAATAAACAACCAGAAGTGCTGGAAAATCAAACTGCGTGGAATTCCAACAACCAAGGAATTAAAGAAATATTCACCCATACCAGTGCACCAAGACAAAGAAATATGGCCCAAATGAAAGAACAGATCAAAACTCCAGGAAAGGAGCCAAGTGACAAGGAGATAGCCAGCTTATCTGCTGCAGAGTTCAAAACACTGGTAATCAGGATGCTCACAGAACTGATTGAGCTCGGCCACAAAGTGAAGGAACAAATGAAGGCTACCTACAAAGTGAGATAAAACAAAATATACAGGAAACCTGCAGTGATGGGAAGGAAACCGGGACTCAAATCAACAATTTGGAACAAAAGGGGGAAAAAATAAACACCCAACCAGAACAGAATGAAGAAACGAGAATTCAAAAAAATGAGAGGCGTAGGAAACTCGGGGACAACTTTAAATGCTCTAACATCAGAACTATAGGGGTGCCAGAAGGAGAAGAACAAGAGCAAGAAGTTGAAAACTTATTTGAACAAATAATGAAGGAAAACTTCCCCAATCTGGCAAAGGAAATAGACTTCTAGGAAGCCCAAAGAGTCCCAAAGAGGAACACACCAAGGCACATCATTATTAAGTTACCCAAGATTAAAGAGAGCATCTTAAAAGCAGCAAGAGGAAAGGAGAGAGTTACTTAAAAAGGAATGCCCATAAGGCTATCAGCTGATTTCTCAAAAGAAACCTTGAAGGCAAGAAAGGGCTGAAAAGAAGTATTCCAAGTCCTGAAAGGCAAGGACCTACATCCAAGGTTACTCTACCCAGCAAAGCTATCATTTAGAATGGAAAGTGCTTCCCAGATAAGGTCAAGTTCAAGGTGTTCATCATTACCAAGCCCTTATTATATGAAATGTTAAAGGAACTTATCTAAGAAAAAGATGGTCGAAATATGAAGAGTAAAATGACAACAAACTCACAACTATCAACAACTGAACCTACAAAAACTAAGCAAACAACGAGAACAGGAACAGAACCAGAGAAATGGACAGCACATGGAGGGTTTTCAGTGAGGAGAGGGGAAGGGGAAGAATAGTGGGAAGGAAGTACAGGGAATAAAAAGCATAATTGGTAGGCATAAAATAGATGGAGAGCTGTTAAGAGTGGTATAGGAAACAGAGAAGTCAAAGAATTTACATGTACAATCCATGGACATGAACTAAGGGGGGGATGCTGGAGGGTTGAGGGTTACAGAGTGGAAGGGGGATAAAAGAGGGGGAAATTGGGAAGACTGTAATAGCTTAATCAGTAACATACTTAAAGAGTTGCTTAGTTGAGTGTGGGTAAAGAGAATTTCACATAATGAGCATCATAAAAGTGTCTCAAATATAGGAGAGAAATGGTATTAATCAAGGTCTTTTCCCTAACATTATTGTTATAAAGAATTAGAAACAATCACAATAGGCAATTTATAAGTGGCTAAATTATGGGATTTTCATTCAATGAAATATTATGTCTAAATTAAAAATGATGATTATGAAAACTAGGGAAAGGACACTTGGAATTACTAATGAATTTAGAAAGCTGGCCAAGCAGCATGATTTGAATCTCCTCTCCAGTTACTAAAGAGGGCTTAAAAGTAAAATTCCTCTGTTGTGTATAAAAATAAATTCCAGTTGAATTAAAGTTAAAACATGTAATCATAATAGACTTCAAAAGAAAAAAAAAAAAACAGGCTTCTGTTTATATGAACACAGAATGAGGACGACATAAGCCTTGGCTAGTGTTGCTCAGTGGATTGAGCCACTAGCCTTTGAACCAAAGGGTCCCCAGTTTGATTCCCAGTCAGGGCACATGCGGGGTTGCAGGCCAGGTCCCCAGTAGGGGGTGCACGAGAGGCAACCACACATTGATGTTTCTTCCTCTCTTTTTCCCTGCCTTCCCCTCTCTCTAAAAATAAATAAATAAAATCTTTTTTTTTAAGGAAGGCATAAGCATAAAACTAATGGCAGAAACCATGAATATTGATATATTTGACTACATAAAATTTTAAGTATCAAAAAAACTAACAAAAATAAAATTAAAAGGCAACAAAACTTGGAAATACATCTGTGATGTGTATTACAGAGGACTGATCATCAATATTTGAAGTGATCTTACAGATCAATAAGGAAAATATGAACACGCTAGGAGGAAAAAATAGACAAGTCATGAGTAGGCTACTCTTAAAGGACCTATCAGTGGTCAAAAATATGGAGAAAGTTCAGCTTTAATAGTGATCAAAGAAGTATAAATCAAATAATGAGGTTCTTTTTATTTCTCTCAAATTGCAGATTTGAGTAAAATGAGCTTTCCTAAGGTTATGGAAGTGTGTGCTGTGAGAGAGCAGTTTGATGTGTGTCCAAGTCCTTTAAATTTTGTTACTCTCTCTGTAAGGCATAATATTAAACATTGGGCAGGGATTATCATATGTAATCTTAAAAATTACCCTTTTATATGACTGTGGTTGTTTCCATTTTAATGATGAGGAAATTGAAGTATTGGGGGAATAATCGAACTTCCTCCAGGTCACTTAACTCAAGTTAGTTATGTAACCAGACTGTCAAACTCAAGCTGGAGCCTGAACCAACCATGCTTGTCTAAAAATTTATCCCCCTAAAATATTTTGAGTATATGAGTCCAAATATGTTTATTACAGTAGTTATAAGAACAGAAACCTTTAAAATAATTAAATGCCCGTTAATTGATTCCATAGAGTACAATACAGCCATTGAAAACATGTTGAATCAGAAAACATTCATGGGGAAATGTTTGTGAAAGTACTAAGCTAAAGGGTCAGATTTCAAAACCATATTCATAATAAAAGCATAATTTTTTAATGTCTACATGAAAAGACTAGAAGGACAGGCATTAAAACATTGAGAATGTTTTTTTTATTTTATAACAGAATAAAAAGGGATTTTCTTCAGAAGGATACCTTTAGGGTCCCAACTTTTAGACTGTGAGAAATACAGTCGTCCCTCACTATATGGGAGTTCACTTACTGCGGCTTTACTGTATCACGTGGTTTTTAAAGTCGCCATATAGCAAGGGGTGACTGTATACTTCGCTGGTGAGTACCCATATAGAATTTTATATGTTAAAATTACGTAGGTTTAAGCGCATATAAAGTGTTTAAGAGCATATGAAGTGTTTATAAGAATGTGGAAAAGGGCCCTGGCTGGCGTAGCTCAGTGGATTGAGCTCGGGCTGCGAACCAGGCATCACAGGTTCGATTCCCAGTCAGGGCACATGCCTGGGTTGCAGGCCACAGCCCCCAGCAACCGCACATTGATGTTTCTCTCTCTCTCTCTTTCTCCCTCCCTTCCCTCTCTCTAAAAAAAATAAATAAATAAAATATTTTAAAAATAAAAAAAAAAGAATGTGGAAAAGGTAAATAAGAGAGTGGGAAAGGTTGATAGGAGCGTGGGAAGGGTTTATAAAGCCTTAAAATATATATAAATAATAAATATAATGCTGCTATTTCATGGATTTTCACCTATCTCGGGGGTCTCTGGAACATAACTCCTGCAATAGGTGAGGGATCACTGTAGATGCTCAGTATTTAAATAGTACTGATGCCTGGGGTGCCCCACTTAGCCTAATTTATAGACTCTTTCCTTAACAGATGACATAACTTGAAGGGATTACAAGCAGATTCTTAGGTATCTAAAAACAATTTATCACACAATCCTTAAATAGCATACTTCCCTTGTGTATGCAATGATGTATACATACAAACAACATCTTAGGAACACATGATTATAAGACAACTCTTCATTCATTCTTCATAGGTTCTTAATATGTATGTATGTTCCAAATGTACCTTCTGCATTAAATTTCAATTTTAATACAATATTTATGTATCATTTTGCTACTACCAATGTACGAGACAAACTAATAAAATCAAAGAAATGGAGGGCATGGTGTTCCCACACTAACAAGGTGCTTTGTTACACTACTTTTAATTAACTTATATAACTTGAGAATACTAAAGGGAAATTCATTGATGGGGTTCGGGATATTCTGTATAACTCACATAAGTACTTGGAACCTTGCAATAACAATAGGGAGGAAGGACTAGGACTTGTAACAAGAATTCCCAAATCAGGCTTCCAGCTGACTCCTTCAGTGTCACTTCACATTCCCTGGTCCTTGGTGCTTGGCTAGGCCCTCTAATTCTTACCCGTGGTGAAGATTTCAGGAAGCTAAAATTTCAACTTTTTAACCTGGTGTTTCCTGTTCTCTTTAGATTGGTGGTGTGCTTAGTTCAAAAGCTGCCTAAAAAAATTGACCAGTGTTTTTACTTTTATTATGATAGGAATGAAAAAGTGAACCATCAATATTCACATAACCTTTAGTTTAAAGAACTTTCAGCTTGGAAGTTTAAGCTTTAACACAGGGTGAACATCATGGTCTCTTGGTACCCAAGTGTGTATTTGTCATTGTGTCTATGAACAGGTTCCTGGTATAAATTTACCCGTCAACCAACTGACCTATTTCTTCGCTGCAGTCCTCATTAGTGGTGTTGTACATGAAATTGGACATGGGATAGCAGCTATTAGGTAATGATATTTACCTTTTTTTCCCTACTACATGCAAAGAAGCTTTCATTTAGGAGATGTTATTACTAAAATCTTCTACATTTGTTCTTTTTCCTGTGGATACTACCCAGTGCTTATCCTTTGTTATTATTTTAGGCACCTTCTGTTTTGCTGAGGAAATTTACGTATTGATAAATACGTTCAATGAACCATGTACATACTGTACTTATAATGTGGATCTTTCTATCTTTTGCCCTCTGCCAGCATGGTTATATCCTTATGGTGCTTCATGATTTTCATCCATTCCTGAAACTTAATCTTTCTATTCATCATTGGGTCAGAATGATAACCTCTGCACTGCTTCTTAGTCCTTTCTTTGGCTTATCAGCTGAAATACTTTCCTGCTTCTGCTTATTGCCTCTGCTAGCTAGAGTAAGAACACTGAAAGCTCTGGGTTTGTTAACAAATATAGCCTGTTTGGACACCCAAGTGGAAGAAGGTAAGGGAGGGTGAGATCTGGGACTCTTCAAGTATCATGCCCTCTTGTTGTAACTACCTGAATGTATCATAATTATACCTGACCATTTTAAAGGCTCCTAAACCTGTAATATCATGATGGGGGAGATGAGTCACAACTCCCCATCACTCCCACTGGTAATTACTGCCATAGGGAACACATACTGATGGGAATATTCTATCTTGTCAGTATGTGGACCAGATCGTCTAAAGGTTTTAGACGAGAAGATCTAATCACTTACTACTTACCAGTTACTTACAAACAAGAGTCTATATAGACTAGCAATAAACCTTTATCTTGACTGGTGTACAGTGTAGTGGTTTAAGTGAGTAGCTACTTTTTAAAAAAATCTCTTTCACCTTAGCTTCCACATTTTTTGTATTGCAGCCCTTAGGGTTTTACATATAAAAGCATTATTATTAACAGTTTAATGACTCATAGTATGCTGTGGATAATTTGTTAATAAAATCACAACTGCCAAGAAAAAGTGAATTTTACAAGTCATATACATAGTACTAAGTGATAGCACAATATATTAAGATGTTAATTTATTTTAGAGTAACTATTGTCTTACAAGGCTATTAAGTATAATTCCATTTTTAGAGACTGAATTAATAAATAGTTCTCCTAAGGACAGTCTGAACATTATGCATTTTTTATTGTACTTAGTTTAACATTAATTCAACAGGAACATACTTAGATAAACCTCCACCTTTATTTATAATAGCTAGGAAGGACAAATATAAGTATTTAGATAATTTACTTGAATTATATTTCTACTGTGTCCTTGGAAAATAATATACAATAAACCATAAATACGCTTTTCATTTAGTTTCTCATAGAAATAGTAAACTTTTCTTTATATGTGTAGCTAATTTCAAGTTATTTATTCAGCATACTAGTTTTTTAAAACTTTGAAGTTGTACATCTATTTCAGAATGCCCTGTTTTATAAAATGCAATTTCATGGATGACCAAATCTGTATAGTAAAATTATGATAGAGATATATAGATACATAAACTTTTTGTCTGTCCAGAGAGACTTGCTTTTTAAGCAAGAACTTGAAGCACAGTGGGAAGTTTGAAGATTATATACATTATTTGATAAATGTAATACTAGTATTAAATTCCTTTTTCTTATGTGATTTCTTAGGGAACAAGTTCGATTTAATGGCTTTGGGATTTTTCTCTTCATTATTTATCCTGGAGCATTTGTTGATCTGTTCACCACTCATTTGCAACTTATATCACCAGTCCAGCAGCTAAGGATATTTTGTGCAGGTAACAGACTTAAATTATTTTATTCATCTATGTGTTATTAGTAGTTTTATGCAAAGTACTTGTATCACAAATGAAAACATCTCATATTATGGTTGATAAAGTCAGTTTATAAGAATCTCAGTCAAAAGTAGTAGAGCAAAATAATGTACATTCCAGTTTCTTTATGAAAAACAACTAAAACCAACATAATTTTTAAAAGATTAAAGTAAAATGAGCAAAACATACCATGTTAATAGAAAACATGACTAAATCATTAAATGAGACAAAGGGGCACTTAATCATATGGAATATTATCTGTGATGAAAATGTAATCACTGTGAATCTTACTGTATCAAGTAACAAACCATCAAAACAAAAATGGAAAAAGCACAAAGAAAACAACAGGCATCATAAAAGAGACTCATCTCTCAACACATGGCATATAGGTATGAAAAAGTCAGATCACTGAAGCTCTTAATAAGGTAAAAATAGATATGTTAAACTACACCACAATTTCAAGTTCTCATGAAACAGAAATTGTCCAATTTCATTCAAAATCATAATTGCAGTATATTTAAAGATGATGAAATAATGTGTAAAGTTTGGCTAAAAGGAAAATTCACTGCCTTAGGAAGTTTTTATGAAAAGAAATGTAAGTATCTGTTGAACATTCAACTGAAGGAGTGAGAAAAAAACTATAAAATAGTTGAGAAATGATGTAATTAGTAAGGATATATAGACAGAAAAGAAGAAATTGGAAAAAAGAAAAATACAGCTGCTAATTCTAAGAGTTAGTTATTTGTAGAAAAAAGTATTAATGGGTGAAAGCTTTTATAGACAGAATAAGATGTCAGAATGGGGAATTAAAAGTGATACAGAGAAAATTTAAAAAATTATAAAACTATTCTTTGTTCATCTCTGAAAAAAAATTTTAAAGCCCTGGATGATTATTAAAAAATAAACAGCCTAAATCAATCCTAGAGGAGATAGAAAAATATATGTATACATGGGCTAATTATAAGAAATTAAGAAAGTTGAAGAAGGATGCCCCTGAAAGTTTCATAGGTGGGATTCTTTCAAATCTTGAAGAGATTATTCTTTTTAATTCCAATTTAGTATAAACTCTCCAGATTGTATAGAGAAGGAAACTAAGTTTTTTAAGCCAATATCAGATACATCTTTTAAAGCACCAAAAAACTCTACAGACACATGGTGTATCTAAACAAAGCAAGGTTTAACATAAGGTAGTCTTTCTGAATGTGGTAAACATAATTAACCATTAGGGGGCAAAATCCTCATCTCAGCAGGTTTTAAAACAGATACTTAACAAAATTCACCATCTATTAATGGCTAAAAAATAAAAATCCTTAGTAAAAGTAGAAATAGCTGGTTACTTCCTAACAGTATAACACTTAGAAGCATTCCTATTAAAGGACAAGACAAGCAATCCTACTATCTCCTAACACTGGTACTATTAAATAGTCTGTAAATGTGAGTCAGTTCAATTAAATAAGAGGGAAAATAAAAAGTATAAGTATTAGAAAGGTATCCCCCCCCCCCCCCAGATACTGTTACGTACCTTGCGGGGGAGGGGGGGTAGTGGTGTATAAAATAAACAGAAATGAAATGTAGAAAAAAATAAGTAAAGAGCCCGGTTACCGAATCACTGTTCAAAAGGCAACATTTTGGCGGGTGGGCAGAGCAAAGAGGCTGGCGGGAAGGGTGGCGCTCAAAACTTGAAGGGGCTGTCCGTGGGTATGAGCTTGGATATGCGCATGCGTTGGGTACCAGGATGCCCAGAATCCCCCGCGTCTAACGCCTCAATTACTTACGCGCGCGCGGTTCTCTGGCATTCGCGCCAATCTTCAGAGCTCGAGCTTTCTTCTGGAGCTTGCGCTCATATCCTCAGCTTTTCTTTTCCGCAACCTTGCGATTGATTCTACGCGCTGCCCAGTAGCAAAATCCTCTTCCGAGCCTTCAGCCATGGCCTCAAACAACATTATCTACATCGCCACAGAAAACTCGGAGGTGCCTACTGAGTTTGTGGAACTGCGCGGGGTCCACCTGGAGACCGTCCCTCTGGAATCTGTCCCTGTGGGGACTGTTCCTATGGAGGATATCCCGGTGGAGGATATCCCGGTGGAGACTTTCGCTATGGGGACTGTTCCTGTGGAGGATATCCCGGTGGAGACTTTCGCTATGGGGACTGTTCCTGTGGAGGATATCCCGGTGGAGACTTTCGCTATGGGGACTGTTCCTGTGGAGGATATCCCGGTGGAGACTTTCGCTGTAGGGACTGTTCCTATGGAGGATATTCCTTTGGAGACTTACGCTATGGGGACTGTTCCTGTGGAGGATATCCCACTGCAGACCACCCCCATGGAGCCGGTGTCGATGGAAACCCTTGCATATGAGGATATTGCTGGCAGTTGGGTGCAGGGTGTCGACCACAGTTCGTCTCTGATTGCGCTGCACCCGCTCTTTATTAGCCAGAACCAAGGGGACCACAATGAAGAAATGGTGATGGTACAAACCCAGGAGGAAGTGGTGGGCTACTGCGAGTCAGGCAGCCTGCCCGGTCACAACTTCCAGGAGCAGCAAATGGTCGCCTCGAGGGAGGAAGACATCTACTTCCAGCAGGTCCTGGCTTCCCTGGAAGCCTCCGCGTCATCATCGACCCAGAGCCACACTAAGAAGCGCAACCGCAGCAAAAAGCCCAGCATCGGTAAGCAGAGCTCCTCCAGCAGCACAGCCGCGGCAGGGACAGCAGCGGCAGCCGGGATGGCTGCGAGGACCGCGGCTGGGGCGGCGGCTGCGGCTGGGGCTGGGGCTGCGACTGGGACAGTGGCAGGGTCAGGGACCACGGCGGCGGCGGCGGAGGGCTGCAGGAAGTGGGAGCAGAAGGAGGTATTTATCAGAACCCTGGAGGGCGAGTTTTCTGTCACCATGTGGTCCCCACACAATGAAGGAGAACAGGAAACTGAAGGACCAGTTGTGGAGAACTCACCACCTGATTATTCGGAGTACCTGACGGGAAAGAAACTTCCTCCTGAAGGAATACCTGGCATGGACCTGTCAGATCCCAGACAGCTGGCAGAATTTACTAAAACGAGGCCAAAAAAACCCAAAGACGATGTTCCGAGAACAGTAGCTTGCCTTTATACAGGCTGCGGAAAGATGTTCAAAGATATCGCATCTATGAGAAAGCATGTGAACACCCACGGTCCAAAAGCCCACATATGTACAGAATGTGGCAAAGGTTTTGTTGAGAGTTCAAAACTGAAACGGCATCACCTGGTGCATTCTGGAGAGAAGCCCTTTCAGTGCACATTTGAAGGCTGCGGAAAACGCTTTTCCCTGGATTTCAATTTGCGTACACATGTACGAATCCATACCGGCGACAAGCCTTATGTGTGCCCCTTTGAAGGTTGTGATAGGAAGTTTGCTCAGTCAACTAACCTGAAATCTCATATCTTCACGCATGCTAAGAACAAAGATTAGTCAGTAAAAAGGAGAGAAAACCCTTTTATGATTCCTAAGGGTCATGTTTTGATAAATCAGTAAAAAAAAATTTTAAAGGTTCTTTAAAAGGTTAAAAATACATAAGATTACATTGTTAAAATGTTATGTTTTGATAGAGTAGTAAAAAAGGTGAAAAAAGGTTTAAAATGTATATATGAGTACATTGTTAAGATGCTTTATCTTGTTCTGTAATAATTATTTGAAAAATATGGTTTTTTGGTAAAGTTTGATCCTAACAGGAGGATAATTCATGAACCTCACATCAAAAGACTTTTTAATGCGACTAACTGTACTAAAAATGGGACTTTGCAGATTCAATTTCACCTGTTCATACATGTTTAAAGTTCTGTGTTTTCCAAATAGTTATGTTTATACTTTTAGAATTATGTTTAATAATTAATTATATGGGGGGGTTTGGAGGTTGATAACTTTGCTTGCTGTAGATTTTAAGAGAATGAACAGTTATATGCTTACACTTTAGAAAAGGTTAAATAAGTTTTGTTTGATATCTTAATTTTGGTTGTGTTTGATATTAACACATTTTGCATAAATGTCTTTTAGCTGCATTGAGTTATATATGTAGCATTGAATATTAGGTGTGATTTAATAGTGTTAGTCAATTTAAACCTATTTTAGTCATTCTATTTCCCCCAAACACTGCCAAGTAGTATTTAATGTAATTTTTTTGCCCCTTTGTTTAGAGAGTGGTGCTCAGTTATAGTTTTATTGTTTATATACTGACTTTTTTTTAACACTTGATGTGTACACTTTATATAATAGAAAAGGCAAACATACAATACCTGTTCAAAAAAATTGCCTGTAAAAATACTGTAGCTACAAAATAGAGAAAAAGGGGGAGGTTGCCACTGGCATCTGGGGAGTAGAAGCCAAAGATGCTGCTAAACATCCTGCAATGCATGAGTCGTCATCTACAACAAGGAATTGTCTGCCCCAAAATGCCGATAGAGAGAAACCCTGCTGTGAGTAATGTGAAAGTTGTAGTGGATTTCTTTGATGTACTTATAAACATTAATGTATAGAAGTTGTTTAAATAAAGGAAATGTTTGTTTTCAACCACTCTGGTTGCTTCTTAGCCATCGTGGGGAAATCTGGAATGTACAGGGAGTGGTCTAGTAGGTCTGGTACCAGCTGCGTCCCTGTCAAGACATAGTAGTTTGACCAGAGAGTCCAGGAATCACTGCTAGTGTGTGCTACCCTGACTCTTGTTTGGATGGGAGAGTTAGTGAGGATGCAAGCATCTAGGCAGTCCTGGTGGACTGTTTCATCCTGGTAGGGATGGGGGGAGCTGAATTTAGAACATGGTAATGGTGACAGATCTAATCAGTGAGGATGGATTATTTTGTGGAATTGTGTTGGGACTAGCAACTTGGTGGGGGGGTGGGAGTGGCAGGGTTATATCCATATTCCAAAATTAGTGTCATTAGCATAAATTCCAGTGTGCCAAAGAATTAGTGTGTTTTTTTGTGTGAGTGTTTTGTTTTAATTTTGTTTTTTAAATGAAGCTATGAAAGCAGTATAAGAAAACAGCTTATTTTCTATCATCTTGAACTGGAAAAGACTTGATACAAAGGAACACTTTGAACACACCAAAATTTAAAATGTCTGAATAGACAAGACTATAAACCAAGGCAAACAACATACTGGAGGAAATGATTAAATAACTCTTACAAAAGACCAAATTCCTCAATGTATATATTGCAAATAACAATATTTGCAAAGTAGTAAAACAAAACAAAATCAACCCAGTCAAAAATGTAAATAGAGAAGGGATAGAAATAGTTCTGTAGGAAATAGAAATAGCCTTTTAATAGAAATATACATGAAAATTGTACAAGTTCACTCATAATTAAAGAAATAGAAATTAAGACATTTTACTTTTCACCTAGCAGATGTCAAAGTATGAAATTAAGGTAGCATCCATCCAGTGTTGGTTTAGAAAGAAGGTGGGAAAATATGCCAATTATGAGAACATAAATTAATACAAACTCATTGGAGGTCAGTTTTAATACAAATATTTTTTGATATACCAATTCCTTTTCTATGTAATTTTTCATACCCTTACAGATGCATATTTAATTAGTTGCATAACAATATGAACAAAGCTATTTGTTGTAGCATTGTGTGCTACAACAAAGTTAACACAGCCTAAACAGTCATTAGTAGGGAAATGAATTTTAAGTCAATATATTTTTTAAAAATGGGTTACTCTGTTGTGGATATAAGAAATGGGATGAAAAAGCAAAATATAGTTCCTGATGGCTTGATACATTTGGTGTTTTTAAAAAATAACTTAGGGAACAGAAAAGATGATTTACCTATATGTCCTGGACTAGATTTGCTCTGGATATTTTTGGAATTTAACAACTTAAAACACCCAAAAAGGGGAAGGGTTACATCCTTACAATGTGAATATGGTATGTGGAACATCTATTAGCTAAGTATCTGGCAATTGTAATAGCTAAAAATAACATGCTTAAATTCTCATAAATGTAAGTAGCTCAGTGCTATATGATAATTCTATGATTTGGGGGACTCAGGCATTTTCTGTCTAGTTAGCTCTGCCATTCCTAACATGCAGCTTCTATGTTGTGGACTCAGGTTTAGTTCCCACATTCTAGCCAGTAGGACAGGAATATTCCCACCACTTCCACTCACATCCTTTTGTTCAAAACAGTCATATGGCCCTGGCTGGCGTAGCTCAGTGGATTGAGCACAGGCTGTGAACCAAAGTGTCGCAGGTTCGATTCCCAGTCAGGGTACATGTCTGGGTTGCAGGCCATGACCCCTAGCAACCGCACATTGATGTTTCTCTCTCTCTCTTTCTCCCTCCCTTCCCTCTCTAAAAAAATAAATAAATAAAATCTTTAAAAAAAAAAACAACAAATAGTCATAACCATACTCAGCTTCCTGAGAGCCTGGGAAATGTCTTTAGGTTACATTTCTCTCACTATAGAACATTGGTTCTCAACCACTGATGCTCTCACCCTCCTGGGAATGTATGGAATGTGGGGAATGGGAGCTATTCTTTAGTTGTCTGACAGGAGAGCACTAATGACATTTAATGGATGGAGCCAGGAATGCTAAATATCCTGTAATGTAAGGGACAGACTTACACAACTAAGAATTGCACTGCTCATGGTATTAGTAGTGCCCCCACCCTTCCCCGTGGCAAAAACTAATATAAGAAGGGAAGGCTAGGTATGCAGGGAGGGGTTATATAGTGGTGTGCTGGTATATGTTTTAACACCTGACTCTGAAGGGGTAGGGGGGTAGGTAGCTCTGATACGTAGCATTTGCTGGTTTCTGTCTTGTAAATATGTGGTCCCACCATGGCCAATTTCAAGGTGCAAGCTTGGAGTCCCTGAAAGAACTGGGAAGGGATGCACACAGTTGGCTATGACATGCTGGTAGAAGCAGGCTCCAGCACACCACTCTATGTATGATGGAGGTAGTTGTAGTCTGTGACATGATGTTAGATACATACTCTATTCAGCCCACCAATAGTATTCTCCGTAATAGTTTAATTCTTAAAACGATTTCTTTTTTCAAATACCATTTGGATTTCCATACCCCAGTTCAGCAAGAATGTTTATTTCATCTTAGCTTTTATTTGAATAGCTCTGATATTCCTTTCAAAGATCACAGGTATGTTTATGTTAATTATGTATACACTTTCTGAAAAGAGGATATAGTAAATGGAAGACATTAATTCTATTTGTGATATACACATATATCAGGTATATATAATAGAATATAGATTTTATTAGTGTTATATTACAAGGTATTAACATGCTTATTTTACATTTTAATATCTGAAATGAAAGAGGCCTCTAACTGAACATCTGTCTGCTGTACTAATAAGTAAATCTATGTGCCTCACAGCTTCTTCTGGTTACTTTCCTAATTTATAAGAATGCCCAGGTGTTATGAGATCCAAATACCTATGTCATTCCTACCCCTGGTTGAGCTTATTCTTTTTTTTCTCTCTCTTTTCAGGTATCTGGCATAATTTTGTCCTTGCGCTCCTGGGTATTTTAGCTCTTGTCCTCCTCCCTGTGATTCTCCTCCCCTTTTACTACACTGGAGTTGGGGTGCTTATCACTGAAGTTGCTGAGGTAAATGATGGATTACTTAGGCATTCTTTTATCAGATTTTGTGATGTAACACGTAGCATTTTATGTGAGGGACTTTTATTCAAGTTCTCATAGATAGAATGCTCAGTTTCTCCTGAAGAAATTATTGGCAGCCCTTTCAAATGAAATAGTTTGGTGAAACACACTGTCTTTTTAAAAAGACTGAAAATTGTTTCTTTTCTTAGTTACAAAACTAGTATCAAGATTTTCTACCTGTAGTTTGTTGATAAAATGCATCATTTACTATTACTGTTTATTTTTATAAGTCTGCTTTTGAGTCAGATATCTTTACTCATAAGAAGTAAGAAAGATGAAACCTAAGCTAGCCAGCCAGAACATTTTATGGGAGCTTATGTTTTCAACTCTGTATTTCACTCCCTTAGTCAATAACTACTCAGATGGCATCAAGTTTTCTATTCAGATTTGGGGAAGAGAAAAATTAATTTTGTGAGCAAGTGGCTCACATATTCATATGCCGACAGTATCACCTGCATATTTGGGACTGTATCTAAATAAGGCCTTGCCTTACAGTTTTATCCACTGAAGATATAGGAAAATGAAGGCCTTCTGATAACTACTTTCACAAAAAATTTAATAGCAGTTTATTTTAAAAAGCTATCATTTCAGTCTTATCAGCTGGCAAGTGGGTTTTTGTTTTCTCAGTTGCAAAAAACATTCAAAATCTTGGAGAAGTAGTAAAAGTAACTAATTGTTCGGTTTTGTTTTAATTTTATAAGATTATATATCTTGGATTCAAAGCTAGATTATTTTCTGTATTACTCAAAATAATCTACTTAACTCAGTGTCTTTAATTATTTGCTGAAATTAATCATAGCTTGTTTACACACATTATCTGATTTGTTTTTGCCCTCTTTCCAAGGACTCACCTGCAGTTGGACCCAGAGGTCTTTTTGTGGGAGACCTTGTTACCCATCTACAGGATTGTCCTGTTACTAATGTTCAAGATTGGAATGAATGTCTAGATACCATTGCCTATGAACCCCAAATTGGTTACTGCATAAGTGCATCAACTTTACAGCAGTTAAGCTTCCCAGTTAGAGGTATGTATATTTCCCTCAGTGTAATACTTCAAGCAGCAATTTGGTGAACTTTGTCATTCACCAATCTTAGATTATGTGTATAGATTTATTTTATTCTAATTTCTTTAAAACAAATAAGAAAAGTGTGGCTCAGCAGATTGAGCACTGGCCTGCAAATCAGGGAGTCACCGGTTCGACTCCCAGTCAGGACACGCTCGAGGGGCAACCACACATTGATGTTTCTCTCCCTCTCTTTCTCCCTCCCTTCCCCCTTCTCTAAAAATAAATAGATAAAATCTTTTTTTAAAGTAAAATAAATCAGAAATAACAGTAGGCCCAAACTAGTAAATATTCTTGGTAAATCAGGTACTGGTATGTATGTTACCTTTATTATACACTGTTGTGGAACTCCTAATTTTATAACATCATATTTGAGTTTTAGGACTCTTGTATCTAATTACTTATGAATTTAAAAAAACAACAACAACTTGTATACTCTGTGGGGCAGGGGGCGGGCACCATAGAGACCTGCTGCCACTGTGAGAACGCTCCAGCCATGCCTCCATGCCCTGTACCCCTCCCCCACATGCTTCCTCCTAATGCTGCCCTGGCCTTTGACCCCAGGTGCACAGCTGCTGCTGCTGTTTGTCTGGCCATAGCAGCAATGGTGGTGGCAGCAAACAGGCCTAAAGCAGGGTAAGGCAGGACCCGCATGCCAAGCACCTTTACATAGTGGAAGCAGAGACCTTGAATTGTTGCACCACTTTGTTATGTGCCAGGTGAATGGAAAAACTGTGAAAATGCAGGTGCAAGTTGCCTCTCCTGCCTGGCCTTCTGGACCCAGTGTCAAGGAGCTAAATCATGTGGATGTTGCTGAGTTTCAGTGGTGGTTATTCAGAAAGGTGAATGTACTAAGCTTGTGGAATCTTGTGTGTGTGTGTGTGTGTGTGTGTGTGTGTTTTAAGCCAACATACTGTACAGATTTTTTATTAAGTTTCTTTAAGTATACATGTAACTCATGATCCCTTTGCAAACCATTTTCAGTGGCAATCTATCATCCCCTTTAGCTTTTATTGATGAAATCTGAATGGTTTCCTTTGAGACAAAAATAGAGCTGAGGAAAATCAAATTGCTGGATTATTTTTGGCTCCTGAGTTTTATTAGTGAAAGCATCATCCAAAGCATGGTTTTTGAGCTGTCCACAAGTTACAGAAAGTGGCCGTGTGGCAGTATCAATGTTCCTCTGATCTGAAGGTCACAATTGACTTACTAATAATGTGATTGGTCTGTAACTTGGAGCAGATTTAAAAACAAAAACCCCACACCTCTGGAGGTTACCTTCATGGCCACTCCTGGATTTTGTTTCTGTTAATACTTCTCTCATTGTAAGAGGGTTGCCGTGATGCAAGCAGTGGCACTTTGACATGTGCCCGCATAAGATAACATTTATGCCATAATCTTAGGTATGTGTCGATATTTGTCAAATCAGTTATTATTGTTCAAGGGATACTTCTGTTTGTTTCTCATGGGTGAAAGGTTTCATTAGTTATGTTAATATTAAGTCAGAGTCCATGTAAAAGATCTTTAAGATTCAAAATCTATGTTCGAGTCCATATTTAAGACTTGATGTCTCCCATGGAAAATGTGGGCATGGAAAGTTCCACAAGGCTTTTCCTGACTGTTCTATTAACTCATAGAAAGATTCTGGTTATATCTGCCACCTGGGGCAAGAGGACTAGATGAGCTTTTCTAGGTCCAGGCATCGGGGGCCAAGGGGACTTTGTAGCTTCGCTACAGAGCCCTAACTGGTAGCAGTTCCAGTTCTGCTTCTAGTTAGTCCTTTTAGAGACTCGTTGTACACCCTCTGCCTTTGCAGAGGTTGAACCTCTGCTGTATGAAGAGTGGGATTAACTTGACCTAGAAACCAAAGAATGAAGTAGGCAGGGCTGAGTCAGAGCTGATATAGATTGTGCTACCATCAGTGCCATCCTGTTAAAAATGTTAAAAATTAAACATTTCTACTATCACCCTTGGACATAAGCAACCATAGGACTAGGCTCCCCTAAGATAGGTACATGTATGTTCTTTACCATCAATTTGTTTAAACTTTGATACTTTCTAAATAAACTTTTTAAAAAATTGTGTTAAGTCAGCATTTAAGCTCAATCATAACCAATTAAATTCCAATAATTAAATGTCCCTGTGCTATATGGATGATGGCATGTCCAAAGCTATTTGGGGTCGTTATTTTATGTGGCAGACATTCAGTGGAATTAATCTTGTCTTCCAGAAATAGCCCCTGAAGTCAGGTCTGTTGTTCCATGTAGCAGGTGGCAGGGTGAAGCAAGTTCATTCTCAGAAGCTTCCAGATTTGAGTTCTTTCAGCTCTGAAAGACCAGTCTCCCAACTCTTTATATAAAATGATAGGATACCAAATTGTTAGAAGTGTTGGAAAACACAAATTATGCTCATAAACTATATCTTTAAGTCAAGAAATGCCCTGGATACTTGTCCACATTTACTGGGGTTAGGAAATATTATTAACAATCAAAAATAACCTTACTGAAGTGCTGTGTGCAGCAATGATAAAGTAGTAAGAACTGATTTTTAAAGTTTTTTTTTCAAACATAATTTTGCATGTATAACCATTTTTTAGAACTTTGTATTATAAAATTTTTCAAATTTACATAAAAGTCAAGAGAATAGTATAAATGAATTCATGCATCCTTCTTCCAACTTCACCAATTATCAACATCTTCCCAATTTTTTTCATCCAATCACTTCACTTTGGGGTATTTAAAGTACATCCCAGGCATCCTATCATTCCATCCATAAATTTCAGCATGTCTTTAACAGATGGTGACTTTTTAGACATGACCACAGTATTGTTATCAAACCTAACAAAAGTAACAATAATTCCTAATATCCCGTTGGTTTTCCCTGTTATGTTTTTCTCCTTGGCTTGTGTCACTTGGATGGTATGTCTTTTAAGTGTCTTTTAACTTGTAACAATTCTTGGCCTTTCTTTTTTTTTTTTTTTTTTTTTGAGATATCATTTGTTTGTTGAAGAAAACGGAATCATTTATTTGTTTTGTTGTATTTCCCATATTCTGGATTTGTCTAATTATATCTTATCCTTGTGATGTCATTAATATGTTCAGATGTCCCCCAAATTTCTTATAAACAGTGATTAGGTCTACAAGCTTTATTATACTCAGGATCCATTTGAGGGGGGTGGCAAAAATACACCTGGGTAGCACTCAGTACTTCCTATCACATCATGTTAGAAGGCAGTGTCCAATTGTCTCCTTCGTGGTGACGTTGATTAAGTGGGCTAACCTGATTTTTTTTAAGGTTGAAATACTTGTAAAATTTTTCCTCTTCTCCAGAGCCACTTACCATCTTCCAAAACTTTTCAGTTGGCAGAAGGTTGGTATGTAACCTACATTATGCTCTTCTCTAAGAGAAATATTTTATTATTTCATACTTTTTAATGTGACTCAGTAGAGTTCTAAAATAAAATATTTTTAGACCTAACTTTTCTTAAATTGATAAACAGAAATATCAAGTTTACTTCTCACACAGTAACAAGGTATTTAACTTTTTTTGAAAATTCTGTGTGTCATTAGATACTTAAACTTGTCAGGACATTCACAGCCATGGCTTTATGTTTGGGTTGGAAAAAGTCACCATAGGAAGAAGCCGTTACCCGGAGGTAGAAAATCTGTGGAAGCCTAGAGGCCAAATCCAGTCTTGGCAGATGTACTTGGTTTGGCTTGCACTGTAATTTTAAAATTTTTAAGTGGCTGCTAATATTTAAAATTCAAGAGGGTTCAAATGAAAGAAAGTCTAGCTTTCTGATTTCTCTTGAAATGAAATGTTTGAACTGTCGGATCTGGGCCCCAAGTTGAGTGGCCTGGATGCTAACTCCTTAGAATATGGTATATGTTTTTTAATTCATTACAGCCTCTACCACTTTCTGCTTTTCCACACACTATCCACTTCATTTATTTTGTTGGTATTTGCTTGACCCTTTTAAGCATTTGTGTTACCACATACTGTATTAACAGTAATAGCAAATTCTTGACTTTCATTCTATATTGTATACAACTCTCCAAGAAAAGTTAGTGATCAAGCATCAGGTATAATTTTGTTTGTTTGATTGTTTGTTTAGAGAGGAGTAGGGGGAGAGAAAGAGAGGGAGATATCAACATGAGAGAGAAGCATTGACTGGTTGCCTTATGTATGCACCCTGACTAGGAATGGAACAGGTGATCTTTTGGTTTGCAGGACAACACTCAACGAACTGAGGCACACCAGCCAGGGCATGATGTAATTTTTTTTTTAAGATTTTATTTATTTATTTTTAGAGAGGGGAGGGAGGGAGATAGAGAGAGAGAGAAACATCAATGTGCAGTTGCTGGGGGTTCTGGCCTGCAACCCAGGCATGTACCCTGGCTGGGAATCGAACCTGGGACACTTTGGTTCCCAGCCTGCGCTCAATCCACTGAGCTACGCCAGCCAGGGCATGATGTAATTTTTAAAAAATAATTACTAATACAAAGGCAAGTAATACAGAATGCCATTTCAGTGTTCAATGCATATCGAATTATCTACCCTATATAAGATGCTGAGAAACCTTCAAGGAGCTTCTAGTCAAAGAAACAGACCATGGCTACATTATTATAGCACAAGGTTAGATGTAAAGTAATGACTAGAAACACTGGGAGTGGTGGGAGCAATGGCAGTCAGTCTTAACTGAGAAAATGGGGGCAAAATTCATAGCAGTCACCCTTTGAGTTGGTCCTAACAGTGAGTTTAATTTCGGGAGGCCAAGATAGAAATGAACCTCGGCACCATGACTAGAAGATGTTCAAAGACCTGCTAGTAATTTGGTTCAGCAACAGAATAGTATGAGATAAGATGATAAAAAATGAAAGTCTTTAAATTTTAGGCTATGAAATTTAGACTTTATTTGGGAGCAGTGCAGAGTCTTCAGAAATGTTAGATTAGAGGAGTTACGTTCTTATAGTTCTACATTGGCTGGTTAATTTCCAGCATTCAGTATGTAGGACAGGTTTGCATGTGCCAGCTTGGTGGTGAGTAAACAAGGCTCATTAGGGCTTTTTTCAGATGGTTCAGGTGAGAAGGAGTTAGAGTCTGTACTCAAGTGGGAACAGATAAGGAGAAAAATGATGAGGAGGTAAATATTGGTGGGAATTGGCAACTGACCAAAGAGAACACTGAGGGGTTTAGCTGGGATTGATTTTTTTAAAAAATTCTAAACAGCCCTGGCTGGTGCAGCTCATTGGATTGAGTGCCAGCCTGTGGACCAAAAGGTCGCCAGTTCGATTCCCAGTCAGGGCACATGCCTGGATTGCGGGCCAAGTCCCCAACTGGAGGTGCGCAAGAGGCAACCAACCACACATTGATGTTTCTCCTTCCCTTCTCTAAAAATAAATAAAATCTTGGAAAAAAAATAAAATAAATTCTAAACAGCTTTTTACCTTACACTTTATCATTCAGCTGATGAGTGACCGTGGGCACAGGTTTGTCAGTGACATTAGGTATTCCAGTTTGCTTTTGCATTTTAAAAATGATTTGTCACCCAAAATTTAAGTATCTTCAGTTACGCTAAGAAAACAAAACTACCCATACAGCCAACTATTGCACAGGAGAAATAGATGCATTGGTTAGTTTGCTTTACCTGTTTAGTTTTCCACTTTATGTTGGCCAGGGAGTGAGAGCAGTGGTGGTGAGGCAGCATCCAGTGCAGCCAATACAAGGTGTCTTCCTTGAATAACCTAGTTTTTAAAAAAAACTATTTACAAACAAACAAAAAGTGCTTATAAAATCACATTGCATATCAACTAACATTTTCATGCTAGTGTTTCTGAAGACACTTTTGTAATAGAGAAGCTTTTTTTTTTTTAACTGAAAAATGTACTTTTTTTTTTTTTTTTTTGTACTTTTTGTAATGCTGTGGCAACTTTGTTCTTGAGCCTGTCTTCCTCAGCACATCTGAGTATGGTAGTATGGATATAAGAGTTTAAATTTAACTGGTCCTTTCCATATATCAATTTATGCTTTACAAGTTTGATGTGCTAAAAGCAGAAAGTCTTCCAAACTAAAGACATGGAAATCATTTTTCTTGCCATCTGCATCGTGATTTAGCTTCTTTATTCTGCCCCAGGTATCATCAGTGAAGCAGTCTGCCAAAGAACTTGTAAAAAATAAATTAATACTAAGAATAAACAGTTGTTTCTGTTGTCTTCCCAAAAATGGTAACTGGATTATTGGTATGCAGGCAAATGTATACACATCTGTGGGGTCGAATTGGGCTGCCTGGTTTGGAGAGGAAAGCCCCAAGGTAAGACTGGAGTTGAGATAGGTGTTCGATATGCTAAGTATTTCCTTAGGAATGAGAGTCACTTGGGTATCCTTTGGCCTACTCTGTTTGCTAACACCACAGCACAGGAGTTCAGTAGTGATATTGGATCGGTGGCATTAGGGCAGCTAATAGTGGCTCATCAAATACTTGTGCTTGACCAGCTGGAATTATTGCAAAACCCACTGAGACCCTGGAGCTCCAGCTTTATGAGTGGGTAAGTTTATCTGAAGACGGCTAACCTAGGGTAAGTGCTGCTTCTTGATTTCAAACTGAACATATATCTTTTTGTAATGCAAAATCAAACTACAGTGAGTAGCCATTAAGCTGAGCTCTGAGTTATCCAGTTTCTGAATTCATATGCATTTTACTTACTGTTTTTCTCTGGAAAGCAAATTTTTCTTACAGTATACTTCTATATAACAGATTCTCATAAACTTTCTCTTCAGCATACAAACGGCTAGATGGTTCAACAGAATGCTGTAACAATCAAAGCCTCACAGATGTGTGCTTTTCCTACAGAAATAATTTTAATAAGCGTTTGGTAAGTTGTCCTTAAAGCTGTCTTGCTTGTCTGATATAATTACAAATAAGCAGAAAGAGCTAAAATGGAATATATGAAAACTTCTCCCTTTTGCTTTGTATCATTTTACTAAAATCTCTACATTTCACATTGTCACTTTTCATCTGAGATTCTTTAAAATTTTATAGTGGTAATATCTTATTTGGACAAAGTAGGATACTTGAATCTAAATTTATAGTACGTGCATATAAATGGCATTTATTTTACGTGAACTTCTTCCCTAATAGGCTGGGTGACATGAACGATATTGAAGGACTGTGACTTGGTGTTTTTAATCAATCATTTTTAGTATTGACTAATTAACATTTGTTCACAGCATACATGCCTACCTGCCCGGAAAGCAGTTGAAGCCACCCAAGTTTGTAGAACCAATAAAGATTGCAAAAAAAGCTCAAGTTCAAGTTTCTGCATAATACCTTCTTTGGAAACTCACACTCGCTTAATAAAAGTGAAACATCCTCCTCAAATTGATATGTTATACGTAGGACATCCACTGCACCTGCACTACACCGGTGAGTATTTTGGTGGTAGACCCTTAGAAAATCATTAAGATGTCATAAATTCTCAGAGGTAGAAGCTCAGTACAAATCCTTGCATTAGTTTTATTGATTATAAATTTGATCAGTTTTCAAAGCCCTGTTAATTTGTGCTTTTTTAATTTTTAATTTTTTTGACTTTTCAGTTACAGTTGATGTACAATAGTATATTAGTTTTGGGTGTTCCTAATTTATTCTTAAGCATTAAATAAAATTTAGGCAGTAGAAAAATAATCTGGATTTATAAAACAAGATGGAGTTGAATCCCCTGTCTGCCTTTGAAGAACAATATATTTTTCATTCTCCACCATTTATGCCCAAATCACAGAGCTGATCTCTCAGATATTCTGTGAAATTTTATTAAATTTATCCAAGCTCCCAAATCCGTGACAAGAGCAGCATACCCCAGAGAATGCTAGGAATCATAGGGATATGACAATAAAGTAATTTGTGTGTGACACATGAATTTTATGTAAACGTAATTTCAAAACTGGGCCAGCATAAGTATTTGAACAAGTAGCAACACGATTGGGCTAAATATGCAGCTTTTCCATGTGGCTGAAGATCATACAGTCTTAACTCATTTTTGTGTAAGATTCTTTAAAAAGATTTTATTTATTAATTTTTACAGAGAGGGAAAAGAGGGAGAAAGAAACATCAGTGTGTAGTTGTCTCCCATGCACTCCCCACTGGGGACCTGCCCCACAACCCAGGCACGTGCCCTGACTGGGAATCGAACCAGCGACCCCCTGGCTCGCAGTCCACTGAGCCATACCAGCCAGGGCTTGTATAAGATTTTTATGTTCTTCTTTAAATAACTTACTGAAATATAATTCGGCTACCACATAATTCATGCTTTTAAAGTATACAGTTCAGTAGTTTTTAATATTTCAGAGTTGTACAGCCATCACCAAAATCTAGTTCTAGAATATTTTCACCTCAAAAAGAAACCCCATTTCTATTAAGCAATCATTCCTCATTTCTCCACGACAACCCCCAGCCTTTGACAACCACTAGTCTACTTTCTGTTTCTATAAATTTGCCTGTTTGTCACATTTCACATAAGTGGAATATTTTGTGACCAGCTTCTTTCACTTAGCATAATGTTTTCAACATTTGTGTTGTAGCCTGTTCTGGTACATCATTTTTATGGGTGAATAATATTGCGTTGTATGGGCAAACCACATTTTCTTTATTGTCAGTTGGTTTTATGTTACTCTTTAAAGGACTCGCATTGCTTCATAGTCATATCCTGAGTTACAGCCTGGGTCATGCTTATTGGTTGAGTTTTACACTAAGTGACTCTAAAATATAAATATTAAATACATCCTGAACAAATGAGAAAAGGTCCCCTTTTAGGGTAATTCAAAAGAGTGTACTGTGGGTTCTACTTAATTACAGGTATGTTTTTGAATATTTTGAACAACACAGGATTATGGAATCCACAGAGTGGAAGAGGCCTTAAAAATTTTCTAGTCTTAATCCTTGTTTTAGCAATGAAGAAAAAAATGAGACCAGAAAAGTTAAGTGGCATAATAGTTGTAGTGAATGTGATTTTTAGGTTTATACCTCTTTGGAAGGTTAAGGACTCTTGATGTAAATTCTTTATTTATTAAGTCAGTCTCTGTATTTGGTATTAGTATGTGGCATATAGTCAGTTTTTATCTTATCCTTACATCGAAATATAAGTACACCCTAGGACATGAATTTCTGTATTCCACTCTTTTTATTAGATGTTGTTAGAATAATTGTTTTTATATGAGGGGCATAACCTGCCGCATATGTTTGGGAAGGACTTTCTCAACCAATTTAATAGGCTAGCCCAATTTTTGACTGCATGGTAAAATTCATAATGCTATTATTGTTTATGAATAATATACACTATTCCTTTTCTTTTTTAGTGAGCATCACCAGTTTCATCCCACGTTTTAACTTTCTAAGCATAGATCTACCTGTGGTTGTGGAGACATTTGTCAAGTATCCTTTCTGGTGTGAAACTGTTTTAAAAGTTTTATTTGGAATTTGATCAGTCTTACCTTGAATAGAGCATGTATATATCTTGCAAGTATCAATTAATTACTGACAACCAAAAGACATACTTTAAAGTTGAAAAAAATCAGATTGTACCTAGGAGGGAGGAAGTCAGAGGAAAGAGATTCACCAGGGAAGGAGAAAGGTTAAGGGTATGGAAGGGAAGGAACACAGAATACAAATTAAGAATTGAATTATAAAGGATAAAAACTCCAGTTTCTAGTGAGGTGATGAATTCTGCCTCTTCTGAGCCTTAAGCGCTGAGCAAATGGAAGAATGCATACAGGAGAGCAAACTGGTTTCTACTACTAAAATAACAATTCAGAGGACAAAATCTCTCTTTAGTATATTATATGTTTGCATATACAAGATGAAATTTTTTAAAAAACTGATAATTATGTAGAATTTGAATAAACTGAACAGTTTGGAGAGTTTCTTTTTGCCACTTTTAAATCTTTTTAATTTCCACAGTGATTTGCAAAAAAAGAAAGAAATGGAAAACAAATGAGCAGTTACCAAAAAATATGTACAATCAGTATTGTATCTTGTAGATTGTAGCTATGTCTCAGAGATTTGCATTATAACCTTACAGATGATAGTAAAGTTATATTTACACTGTAACTTTATAAATGATGGTAAAATAGAGGTCATGGGGCCAAAATGCCTTATAAGGATCAAAAAGTAATTCTCTTTTATTTCTTTTTAAAAAGATTTTATTTATTTATTTTTAGATAGAGGGGAAAGGAAGGAGAGAACCATGAATCGGTTGCCTGTCACACATGCCCCAACCGGGCATGTGCCCTGAACAGGAATCGAACCGATGACCTGTCACTTTGTGGGATGACACTCAACCAACTGAGCCATACTGTTCAGGGCTCTTTTATTTTTTATTCCTTCTACATTCCTTGTTGTATCATTAAAGACTTAAAAAGACTGCCCTGGCTGGTGTGGCTCAGTGGATTGAATGACAGCCTGTGAACCGAAGGGTCACCGGTTCGATTCCCAGTCTAGGGCACATGCCTGGGTTGCGGGCCAGGTCCCTGGTTGGGGGCGTGCTAGAGGCAACCACATATTGATGTTTCTCTCCCTCTCTTTCTCCTTCCATTCCCCTCTCTCTAAAAATAAATAAATGAAATTTAAAAAAAAAAAAACGAAAGAAAGAAAAAGACAGTCTCTCTAAGAGTCCATTATACATTACCTTAGTTTACAAATGGTTGGCCTTTTTTTTTCTAGTGGGGTTTTGAACTTTGAAATAATAATATGTCATTTGTTTTAAATAGTAGATATCTAAGAAGGAATGGCCTATACTGGTGGGCATAGATATCATCTGACTCCTGGAAATGTGGTTTCCACTCAGACCTCGCTGTTGGCTCCTTAATTGATTTTAACCAGGTACCTAATTTCTCTCTCAGGAGCTCTGGCTATTGTTAATGCAGTGCCCTGCTTTGCTTTGGACGGACAATGGATTTTAAACTCTTTCCTTGATGCTACCCTTACCTCAGTGATTGGAGACAATGATGTGAAAGATCTGATAGGATTTTTCATCTTGCTGGGTGGCAGTGTACTTTTGGCTGCCAACGTGACCCTGGGACTCTGGATGGTTACAGCACGGTAATATTTGTGCTCATCTGACAGAATCTCCGAGTTACAACATGCAATATTGAAAACCATTATTTGGTATGAAATGTAGAATATTCCCTTAAAGTTACATTTTAGCCAACAACTTGTAAGCGCCTCCTATATCCAGAGTATCCCAACTCTGATGGGAATAAACAGAAGAAATGCAAGGTATAGTTCTTGACTACATTTTAGTTTTAAAGACTGAACTTACAATGCTCATGAACTTATAACTGCAGAAGCTCGTAGAACAATTTCTAAACAAGTGCAGGTTCTTATTAAACCATTTTGTGTGACTACAAATCATGTCGCAATAATTTAAAGGAGAATTGAATTAGGTGGAATTAATTGGGGGAACTTCTTGAAAAAGCATCATTAATCCAGATTTGAAGGAGACCAGACTTTGGCCAAGTGGTAGGGTAAGCATTTTCTTGGCCTATATCTCTTGCCCTTTGTCTTGTTTGAAAAGTATTTTAAAACTTAATGGTGTGTTGGTTTGTACTCTTGATAATTGAGGTTCAATTATAATTAAATTAACAAAATTCTATCAAAGAATCTCTTACAGGAAAGGTAAAATCTTTGTCAAATGATACCAAATAAGGGAACAAAGTAGGAAATAGAGCCCACAATATCTTGAGACATTTTTATGCCCCACAAGAGTTACCTCTTTGAGAATGTGTTTCCCATTCCCTTGAAGTAGCACTTAGCCTTGACATTTATAATGAGCTGCAGGAAGTGTCTCCTACTTGCAGCCTGTGGGCTGAGGCAGTTAGGGGTTAACCTCAGAACTGAGCTAGGTCTTCCAGTGGATCACAAGACACATCACAGGACCTCTGTGATCCTGGTTACCATTGTCTACAGAGCTTTGAAGCTTGGAACCCTTCCAGGGTAGATATTTTCTCATGCTGCTGGGGCTATCTGGGCCCTAGCTCCTGGGTTCCTGTCTTCAAGAAGCAACTACCTTAAGCTCAGCTGTGCTCTGTCCTCACCAGCAGCTCCCCATGTTTCTCTGTGTTGGGTAATAAAACATCTAGTCCTGGCTTTCCACCTTTCTCCTAAGCTACCTCAGTGGGTCCACAGAAGACTTGGTAGTACAATGAGAATGGCTATACATGAACGCAAACGTGAATTGGCCAGAGCCTGGGAACCAACTCTCGTGCCTGAAAAACTCAATATATAATTCCCAGGGAGATGCAGCCCTAGGAGATTTGGAAAGTCAGCAGGCCACTGTAGTCTTAGAAGTGTATGGGCATGCTTTTCTTTGATGACAAATGTGTGCTTCTCATACACTCAAGAACACCAACAGTCATGTAGCCAACTTCTTCACTAAGTGAAGTCTTCCATGGGGGTTCACCTTTTGCAGATCAGTGAGTTGCTATTTAGGCACTAAAACTTTTTAATCATTTGTAATTAACAAACTCTTTTTAGATTGTATTACACATTTGCCTGCCTTCTTAAACAAATTATGTATTGAGTATGATTTTAATTAATTAATGACTCGAGATGGTCATTTATTACCACTACTAAAACCATACACATAATTGGTTTATCCCAGGAAAAGGGCATTTGTTCTATTTGTAGGCAGACAGTCATTCAGGATCAAAGTGTGTTAGCAGGATAGTGTTCAGACCTGTTCAGGTAGAACTTGGGGAATACCATGAAATACTTGCATAATGAATTCAATGACATGAACTGAGTAGTTTATTAATGAAAATGCTGTATATGTGCAGGTCAGTTTTTTAAAAACTGAGAAAAATTTAGTAGAGAAAATCCTTCCCATTAATTTTCTTTTCTGGGTGGAAAAAAAAACCCAAACACTTTTTTTTTGTAGCTCCATAGGTTCAAGATTTTGGGAACCATTTCTATTAGGGTATTGAACAGATCAGCCCCATTTGTGTATAAATGTCCTCATCATGTAAGGAAAGAAGGAAATGTTACGTGTTATCTCTTCAGCTTGATTGTGGGCACTTCTAGAGCAAGGACCATGTCATACTCATCTTTGCATCCCTGACACAGTGCATGAGACATCATAAATACTTAATAAGTGCGGTTGAATGGATGATGATTAGTGTTATTTATGGATTAGGAAAGCATGTATCTATTTAAGTAAGCTATAAAAAACTATTAAATATTTACTATATATGTTAACATAAAAAACAACTCAGAAGGTCTGTGTGTCCCTGGTATATTATCATCTTTATGAAAATAACCCATTTTGGTTTCTGTTGAACGATTAGAAAAATGAAAAAAAATGGATTATCTTGAGAATTTGAAGAAGGTGTTCTTTCTGTGTTGTCACTTTGTTCAACAAAATTTTATTTTCAGTGTTCCTGCTCTGCATTGTTTACATTTTTGAGGATTTTTAAAAATCACCTACAGTCTGTAAAGAATGTATATATTCTCTTCAGCATCTCAGTTTTGAAAGACATACAGTTGAACTCAACCTTTTGATAATCAGTCTTGTAGGTCATTGTCTGTTCTAACAGTAAATTGTAAACATGTGCGTCATGGATCTGTGGCTCCCAGTCATCAGTTTGTCCTATGGTATTTATTGAATGTCCATGTACTAATGGTGCACAGAGATTTTTTCTCTAAATCTTTCGACTGTTCTGTAATTCATTCTTAAGGTTTAACTTGAAAATACCAGAGTTGCTGGCATATTGTGTATAGCAATAAAAATAAATAAATGAGTACCAGCATTCTATGTTTTATCATCATCTATGTGTTGTCTTTTTAAAAAACAATTGTATTTTCTATGAAATTGTTCCCTTTACATAACATATGATTTTAGTTGTTTTTAAATTCTTGATTCTAAAAACAGCCTTCAGTTTCCACTCCAGCAGCCCATATGTCAAAGTTGTTGCAGGCTATGGAAAGAAATCTTAAGTAGAAATCCTGTGTTCTTGCTCCTGTTTTCGAAATGGCATGTTTGTGGGTGAAGGGAAGGGGCTATCATTTCCTTTTATTAGTGCCTGACAGAAGTCTTTAAGATTTTATTTATTTATTTTTAGAGAGGGCGGGGAGAAACATCAATGTGTAGTTGCCTCTAGAACTCTCCACTGGGGACCTGACCTGCAACTCAGGCATGCGCCTGGACTGGGAATCGAACTGATGACCCTTTGGTTTGAAGGCTGGCACTCAATCAGCTGAGCAAACCAGCCAGGGACAGAAATCTTTAAGTCAGTCTGTTTATAGGAATTGGTGAAAGAAAAGCGTTTCAACGGTAACATTTGGATCTTCTTGACCTTTTGCCCTAGTGCTTCCTCCCTTGTTCATAGAGTATACCTGTCTCCCATAAGCAAATGTGCACACCTGCACACATTCTCTTTCTAGGTTACTAAGGGCCAGATAAAATAGGCTGGAAATGTAGCCCAGTTCCTGGTTGGCTAGCCTCATTGCACTGCAGTTAAGAGCCACAAGACTAGGTGACTATCTAAATCATCTTTTTTTATTAGCAGCTTTATTAAGATATAATTAAATACCACAATGTTCACCTGTTTAAAGTGTGCAATTCAATGTAAACCATTTTTCCTTTAATGACTCGTCAAGCAGTAATATACCTATGTTTTCATATAATCAAAGCTTTAAATGAACATGTGATAAGAGATGGGGAAGAAAAATGTTTCCGTGATGTCACAGCTATTTCAACTCTAAAGTGGTTTTAAGGATTGGAATAGAGTGGAATAACAAATTTACCTTTAAGGTAAAATATGTGATATACTGTCTTTGAGACAATAAGCCTTTTTAGTCCATGCATTTGCAAACTACTGTTACTGTGTTTAGGCCACACTAATTTGAATAATCCATTGTATATTTTATCAGACCACAACAAATGAAATCTAAAAAGAATGCCTTTATTTCAGAAGCTAATGCTGCAACAGATTATATTCAGTGTGGACGCAGAAAAAAATGCCTAAAGGAAGTTGCAGTTCTGATTGCCAAGCAGATTATATTGTTTGTGTAACTTAATTTCCCATTAAAGAGACAGAAAAACACCCTTATATCTTAGTTTTATTTAGCTAAAAATTGATGGATAGTCAGTAATTGTCCCTGCTTATCAACTCTTTCTCAAGTTTACCTACTAAAGGGTTTCTGACACTGTAGAGGAGGGATAACCCAGGAGGATCTAAGAGTAGAGCCCTGTAATTGGCTGTACATCCTATAAAATTGAAGTCTCACTTTATTTCATGTGAATTTTGTATGCCATTAATCAGGCTTTTTAAAGCCAGTTCTCTTAAAGATATCAAACTCTAAATTGTAAAAGCATTAGACGCTAAGAGTATTAAGATCGTCTTCATGTCTAAAACACATTGGTAGAAAGTAGTGTATAGCATTTGGTTCATAGACTAGTGACAGTCTATATGGTGTTTTTGTTTATTATTGAAATGAGAAAAATTAAGCTAATGTAGCTTATCTCTAATTACAATTAAAAAGGTATTCTGTTTTGCTATAAGGTTGCCTGCTGCCCTTTATCAAAGAGCTCTCCTGTATTTGGAGTACGGAATGACGGACTTCATTTCACTTAGCACTTCCAGATTGCTCTCCAGAATGGCTCTCTATAACTGACACTTATTGGCAAGGCACGAGGGCGCCATGTTTTCCCACACCCTCACCTCTACCTAAGTTATCTGACTTTCCTGTCCTGACAGATCCATGTGGTGAAAAATGGAATTTCTTTCTAATTTGCATTTCTCTGAATATTAATCAAATCACACATCCATATACTTGTTTAGCCATTTGGATTTTTTATTCTGCCAATTGCTCATTGATATCTTTGCCCTGGTTTTCCATTGAGTGTTCTAAATTGTTCTTATTGATTGGTAGGAATTTCTTGTATATTCTACATTAGGGGTTGACATACTACAGTCTGCAGGCCAAATCTGCTCACCACCTATTTTTGTAAATAAGATTTTATTGGAACACAGTCACAGCCATTCATCTATGTCACAGGTGGCAAACACAAGGCCCACAGGCCTAATCTGGCCCTCCACCTTGTTTTATCTGCCTGGCAGCAGCGACGAGCTCTCACTTAACTGCTAAGGAGTAGTTACATTTATATAGAATTACATTTGTCCCTGTGAAGGCAACCTCAAGGCTGACGTGGCCCACGGTGAAAATGAGTTTGGCACCCCTGATCTATGTGTTATCTGTGGCTGCTTTCATTCTACAACAGCAGAGTGAGCAGTTGCAACAGAGAACATGTGGCCCACCTAAAACCTAAAATATTTACTAAATAACTGTTTACAGAACAACCCATATTCTAAATGTCTATCTCTTGTCCATTTAAAATGTTGCATGTAATTTTTCCAAGTCCATCTCCCATCTACAAATTGTATTTATTGAGGTCCTTCGTTGAACAAGGATATTTAGTTTGATGTAGTCCAATCCATTTATTTCTTGATTCTTTGTGTTTTGTGAGTCTTAGTAAAAAAAAGTCCTATCGTGTCCCAAAATCATAATAATAGTCTATGCTTTTTTCTATTTGCTTTAGAATTGTACCTTCACAATTAAATCTTTAATTGTAGACTACAGGTGGGGCAAAAGTAGGTTTATATTTGTTTGTATGTAAAATAATACAATAATTAATAATGCTAAAATAAACTGTCACACACACTTGCAACTATAAACCTACTTTTTGCCCACCCTGTATATGGTAGGAGGCAGGAAATTTGGGTGTATTTTTTGTGTGTAGAGTAAGCATATTCTTCATATGATGCCTGGAATGCTCTAGTTATGTACTGAAGTCACTTATTTTCAGATTTATTTTTCTGTGTAATCAAGTTCATATGGTACCTGGAATGCTCCAGTTATTATGTACTTAAGTTACTTGTTTTCATAATGCAGAATTATGACATAAATTTGCCCTGACTTGTCAGTCTGGTCCAACTGGTGTTGGATCTTGCCTCCTTTTGGTATGCCTTCTTGGCTTCCCGTACCTTAAAATAAGGTTTTTAACGTGTTTATTTTTAATTTGCATTTTTTTAGTTAGAAAAGAAACTAAACTTTTTTTAATGTGTTCTTCTGGAGATTTTTTTTATCAGCATCCTTTGCCCATACTTCACTGCAGTAATAATCATCTTCATACTACTCTTCATCATCCAGGACTCAACAATTTTACAAAGGGTTTCCAAACATATTTGTCCATACCATAGCTTCTTTTAGAGCTCCCTGACTTTCATACTTTATTCCTAGCGTTATTTTCTTTCCTTTCAACCATTTTGTTCCCATCTCTAATAGCTTCTGATTTTCTTTCTAGGCTTTGTGTATCACCAGAAATCTACAGTGGGAGGTAGCACTTTGCAATTTACGGAATGTTAACTTCTCCAGTTCAGGGCATTCCTTTTCTGTTACGGAAATACCTAGGAAAAAGAGGTTGGTAATCAGGAGTTTGCTTGGGAAATATAGAACTGAAACAGAAGGCTATAGATAATGTGATGTTTTGGCCTTTATAGGAAAACAATTCTTCCTGGAAAACAAATATACTTTTATTATAGAAAACATGTTAAAGCAAATTGTAGATAAACTGGTAGCTGCTTTCTAAACTTGACAATTATTACAGGCTTTTTCAATGTTATTAATATTCCAATGACTATGGTATTGCAGTGTTAAATTTGCCAAGTTTAAACAACCCCTATTTCAAATTTTGCAATACTATAAACAAAGCTATAAGGAATATTTGTATAACTAAATCTTTTTATTTATCTGACATTTTTGGATAATTCTAGAAATACTTGATAATCTTAAAAGAAAAATTGCTATATTGAAATGGTAAGGTTTTATTGTATACATATTACCTCATTGTACCCATTTTTTCTGGTACCTGAGTATGCAAAAATGGCATCTCATTTAATTTGCATTTCTTTGATTAGAAAAAAGGTTGGACATTTTTAAATGTATTGGCAATTGTTTTCTTTTTGTTTATCCCATCCTTTGCCCATTTTTCATAGCAGTGATTATTGTCTTCTTACTGCTTTTTACCATATGCTCAGTACTACCATTTGATTTGTTATATGTGAATATATTAAAACTTTATTTAAATATAATCTTGCTCTGGCTGGTGTAGCTCAGGCTGTGAACCAAAGGGTTGCTGGTTTGATTCCCAGTCAGAGCACATGTCTGGGTTACTGGCCAGGTCCCCGGTAGAGAGCACATGAAAAGCAACCACACATTGATGTTTCTCTCCTTCTCTATCTCCTTCCCTTCTCCTCTCTCTCTAAAAAAATATATATATATATAATCTTTATAAATAAATAATCCTTTATGTCTTTATACATCATGGTCATGGTCTGTCAAACTTTGCCTTTGGTGATATATTTTTTAAAGATTTAATTTATTTTTTTAGAGGGAAGGGAGGGAGAAAGAGAGGGAGAGATATCAACCAGTTGCCTCTCGTGTATCCCCAACTGAGGACCTGGCCTGCAACCTAGGCATGTGCCCTGACTGGGTATCAAACTGGTGACCTTCTGGTTTGCGGGACAACGCCCAACACACTGAGCCATGCCAGTCAGAGCTGGTGATATGTTTTAAAAGTCTTCTCAAGATTTTATAAATATTCACAAACAGTTTTATGATACGTTTATGATTTCATTTTTTCAAACATTCAAATATTTAATCTACATGCAATGTATTTAGATGTTAGTGCACAGTAGGGATATAACCTTGTGTTTTGTTATCCCCAAATGATTAACCCAGTCGTGGTTTTTCATACCAGCCAGGA